GCATCCCCCGCCCCTGCCCTGGGGCTCTGTGGGGGCCCCTGGAGCCCAACCAGGCAGTTCCCATACATCTACCGGCCCACAGGCGCCCCAGAGCCGGGCAGGGGACCGCGGCCTGGCGGGCGGGCAGCAGGGTTCCTGGGCAGGGGCAGGAAGCCTGGCTCAGCCCAGTCGCCTCTGCCTCGGGAGTGTTGCCCAGCCCCATGCCCCCAAACGGGTCCCCACCGCACAGGTGTCAGGAGGGGCGCGTCTCCGCGGGCGCCCACACAGCAGGGGGGTCTCGGGTGGGCTGTGGCCAGGGCTTCCCGTCTGTCCAAGCAGAGGGCTCGAGGGCCTGGACCGGGGAGGTAAGCGGACACCCACCCCTCCACGAGACGCCCCGGGCCTTGCCCGAGCCACCAGGCTGGCGGCGGCCGCGGGGCCACGTCAGGGCCGAGGAGGGCAGGGCCCGGTGGAGACCAGGGCCGGGGAGCTGCCACTGCAGGTCACCCCCGGAAACGGGCAAACCTCACGTGAAGAGCACAGACGCCAGGCCCCGAGCTCGCGCCTAGCCCAGGAGAGGCCGGAGTCCCCAGCACAGGCTGGGAGAGAAAGGAGCCGACGCGTTCGGCGCTGGAAGGTGCTTCCCCCTCAGAGGCTACCTCGGTGGGGCCTGGGCTGGGGGGCGCCCAGGACCCAGGCCTGAGGCCAGCGGGGCCCCCTCACAAGGGCGTGTCCCCGGCCCCTGCTGCTCCTGCAGGCCCAGGCTCTGTGCCGAGCCGGTCCGCTTCCTCTCCCGGCGGTGGGAGGGAGGCCCGGGCAGGGCGGCCGGGTCTCGCCACACACGTGGGCAGTGCCCGGTGGGGCCCAAGTGGGGCGCCCACCCCACTCCCGCGCCAGGCAGCCACCTGGGCTGGTGAAGGCAACTGCAGCAGGCCACGGCGGTCACCATCCCTGAGGCCGGCCAGCCAGGCGCGGGCCCGGCTATATATGTCTCCAGTCGGAGCAGTCAGCAGCCACCCGTCGGGGGAACCTAAAATACCCCCTATAATTATGTCATTAAAGCACACGGCAGGGCTGACCCACCCCCTCAGCAAACCCCCGGGCGCTGCGGGGCCGCTGTGGTCATGGGCCTCGGCCTGGGGGTGCCTGGCTGGTCTGGGCCGCTGCTCCTAACAGGGCTTACCTGCCCACTCCCACCTCAGAAACCCAGCACCAGAAGGGGGGTCCCCCAAATGGGACACCCCATGAGAAAGAACGGGGACCACAGAGTCACAGGCGGCAGGCAACACCTGGACAGGAGAGCAGACCGGAAACAGGAGTGCGCCCTAGGGATGAAAGCTCACGAGGGGGCTCCCCTGGGCACAGGGGTTAGGCCCAGCACTGCAAAGCTACTGCCAGTCGCTGTGGCCTGAGCGCAGTCCCGGCCAGGGAGCTGCCCACACGGCGCAGCAGACCCCTCCCGTCTCCCCGCTGCTCCCCTCAGCAGAGTGTTTCAGTGGATCCACCTGTTCTGCTCCCAACTGTCTCTGGGGAGTCCTCTCACCCCCTCACCCCCCCGGCCTGTACCCCAGCTCTTGGGTGCATAAATGCATAAATCTGTTTAAAAGAAAAAAGCTCGGCGAGAAAGTGCATCTTGGGGACCTGTGCGTTTCCGCGGGGGAGGGGCTGCTGAGCCTCAGGCCCCCCAGCCCACTGCCCACTTAGCCACGTCCAGCCCGCCGCCTCCGGCCGCCCAGCACCATCGGGCCTGCGCACAGCCCTCCTGGGCCCCTTGTGTGGGACATCCGTCCCGCTCCCTTCCCCCCAGGGCAGCACAGGCACCCACAGGGACCCAAGCACTGGGACGGGGACCCCAGGACAGCGAGCTCACCAGGAAGGGGCGCAGCCCCACCCCTGGCTCTGGCTCCTGCCCAGGGCCGTCCCCCGGGAGCGGGCAGGAGGACGCCTGCACGGGCCGGGGCTCCTCGGGGAGGCCGGGACCCACGGGGCGTGCTGCAGGGGCTCTGCGGAGCAGGGGGGGGGCTGCAGACACCCGGGGCCCTAGGCCAGCTCTGGGCACCTTGTGTGCGGGGCCGCCGGGGTCAGGGCTCCCCGGGGCCGGCGCCCTGGCCGCTGACCACAGCACACACCACGCAGCGCGACGCACGCACATCTGGGGACGCATGCGGGCTCCGGGCGCACCAGGACGGTGTTGGGGCTGCCGCGTCAGGGGGCGACCGCGTCCCTGCTCAGAACCAGAGCCCCAGAGCCCGGAGACCTGGGAACAGCCCCACACTTTCACAGAAAGCCCGGACCGGAGAGAGGTGAGGGCCCCGCGGGTTCAGAGCGACACCGGCCCCACGCCGCCCCTCCCCGCTGTCCCCCCAGGGGGCAACCAGAGGCGGCCCCGCCAGTGGGAGGAGCAGGTCACCCCAGCTGGTCACCTCCCGCCGACCCCCCTCCCCCGCCAGCAGCAGCCGCCAGCCCCTCCCAGCAGGCGGGAGCCCGAGTCCTGCGTCCTGCAGCAGCCCCGGCCGGATGGGGGTGGGGTGGGGCAGAGCCGGGACAGTGTCCGGCCGCGGTGACCTGGAGCCCCGGGAGGCGGCGGGGCAGGGCTCGGACCAGAGACCGCGGCAGGGCAGGCGCCCGCTCCCGAGGTTTCCAAGATCTGTAGCAAAAAGCAGCCCCGCTCTCGACTCTGCGGGGAACGGCGGGCCCTACAGGGGCGGCCACGCTGGCTGGCAGCTGGGGCCGGAGGGGACGCCGGACACCAAGGCCGCTCCCCTGCAGCTGCGCTCCGCCTGGGGGCCCCCGGCTCCCCTCCAGTTTCAAGCGCCGAAAGCAAATGTGCCACCTCTCAGAAGGGGAGACCCCGCCCAGGAAGCAGCCTTGCGTCAGGACCCGGGGGAGCCGGGCACCTCCTGCCCCACGATGGCTTCCTCTGCGGGACGCCCTGCCGGGCGCGAGCTGGCCAGGCCCGGGCACCTGCGGGTGACCACAAGGGACCCACCCTGCGCTGTGGGCCGACCCCGGCCCCCTCCACACATGCTCACGCACCCCCGGCAGCCCCCCTACAAGCAGGCCTTCCCGGAGCGGGTCCTTAGGGGTCCCAGAGGGAGAGGGAGACCCACCCCAGCTCTGGGGTGCCCGACCCTGGGGCTTCTTATTCCTGGCACATCAGCAGCCTCAGGCCGGGAGAGCGGGGCTCCAGGCTGGCGTCACCCGAGGGGCCGCTGTCGGAGGCCTGGGTTCCCTGGCCTCAAGAAGACCCCAGAACCGGGTGCCTCAAGGGGGTGCCGAGGCAGCTGCAGTGGAAGCCTGGGGGGGCAGGGAGGAGGGGTCCCCACGGACTCCCGCAGGGCGTGCTCCTGCGCCTGCTGTGCTGGGTGCCCGCCCCGGCCGGGAGTCAGGAGCTGGGGGTGCTGTCCCGCCCGGCACCTCCAAACGCCCCCAGCTCGCAAGGCTGAGTGCCGGGCTCCAGGGACATCGGGTGAGACCGGCGAGGCCCTCAGCCTCTGGGGGGACCGAGAGGCAGGTGGGCGTGACACAGGCGCTCCTGGCCGCGCCAGAGCCAGCGGGCCCGGGCTGACTAAGGCCGCGGCGACCCGGCCAGCGCCACCTCGCCCTCCCCAACCCAGGGTGCTCCGCGCTTCCAGCCAAGGCCTGTCCGGCGAGGAGGCGCCGAGACACGCCAGAGCAGCGGCCCTCCAGCGCCTGACATCAGCGGCCGAGCGGGTGCTGGGAGCGGCCCATGCCCGGGACGAGGGCCAGCCCCAGGGCCCGGTGTCGCCCGGCTGGCTCCTCGCCCGCTGCGAAGCGTGGCCCACAGCCCGGCGGGCAGGGCAGGGTGGGCATGGGCGGCCCCGGCGCTGAGGACGCGGCGGGGCTGGGGGGCGGCGCGGGGCGCTGCCGGCACCTGGACAGAGCCTCCCGCAGCCCGTTCCCGGCCCCGCCGCCTCTGCTCGTCCCGGGGAGTGCCCGGCCCACGCTCAGCAGCTGGGGCACCTCAGGGGACTCCGGGACACCAAGACACGCGTGTCTTCTCGGAGCCGCTGCCCTGGAAGCCCCCACGGCCAGGGGCCAGGAGCGAAGGCCGCAGGCGCCCGGGGCACTTCCGAGAAGCGTGGCTGGCCTCTGCGGCCCCTGGGCCGGCTGTCCCGGGCAGCCTAGAGGCCGGGGGAGGGGGGGCAGCCAGCGGGCAGCGCGCCTCCGGGGCTGCTCTGCCCAGGGTGACTCACTCCCTCCTCGCCCCGCTCAATGGGCCTCATTGATTCCGGCCCGAAAACTTCCCCAAACTTCGCCGCCTCTCCCTGCGACAGACAAAACCGCGGCCTGGCCCGGGCCAGGCGCAGCCCCAGGTGCCCGGCCCGCGGCTCCTCCGCGGCCGGGTGGGCTCCAGGGGCTGCCGAGCGTCCAGGGCGAGCCCCCGCCCCACGCGCAGACCCCGCAGCGCGGCGCCCCCGCCGGGGGCCTGCTCGGCCGCCCCGCCCAGCCGCGGGCCGCGTGGGCGAGGCCTGGCGGGGGTGGGCACGGCGGCGGGCGGCGGGCAGGGCCAGGCCGCGCTTCCGGCAGCGCCCCGTGTCCCGCGGGCCCTGCGCCCCGCCGCCCGCCCAGCGCCCCGACCGCGGGCAGCGCCAGGCGCCGGGCCCGGGGCGGGCAGGGCAGGGCGGCCCGGGCTGTGCCCCCCGGAGCGCGGCCGGAGGGCGGGCGGGCGGGCGGCGAGGGGCGGCGCGGCCGGGGTCCCGCTCCCGGCGCCCGGGCTCGGGCAGGAAGCGCGGCCGCTCAGGAAGCCGCGCTGCGAGTTGGCGCTTTTTTGTTTTAACACGAAAGAAAAAGAAAAGTTTTGCGTCCGCCCCGCGCCGCCCCGGCCCTTCCCACGCGGCCGGCGCTCCCGCCCGCGGGCGCCACTCCCGACGCCGGGGACGCCCGCCCCCCGCCCGCGCCCCACGCCCGCCCGCCCGCCCGCCCCCGCGCCCGCGCCCGCGCCCCCGCCGCCCCGTCCCGCCCGCCCCCGCGCCCGCCCGCCCGCGCGCCCCACTCACCGGCCAGCAGCGCGCCGGGCAGCAGCAGCCAGTAGAGCCCGGCGCCGAGCACGTGCGGCTCCATGGCCCGCGCGGGGCGCCCGGGGCGGCGCCGGGGGCCGGCGCGGGGGTCCGGGGGCGGCGCGGGGCGCTAGGGGCCGGCGCGGGGAGGCCGGGGCCGGCGCGCCATGGCGCACAGGGCGGGTCGCCGCACGTGCCGCGGCCGGGACCCCGGGGCCGGCGGGGCCCGGCGCCTCCGCGTCCTTGTTCTCGCCGCCCGCTCGGGGGTGCGCCCCGCCCCGCGGCGGGGGGCAGCGCGCGGTCCCGGGGCTCGCGGAGGCCGAGCTGGGCCGGACGGCGGCTGGGCGGCTGCCTGCGCCCGCCCGCGCGCCCCGCGCCTTTATAGGCTCTGCCCGCCCTCCCGGCGGCCGCCCCGCCCCGCCCGGCCCGGCCCCCCCCCGCCCCGCCCGCGCGCCGAGGGGACCCCCGCTCCGGCCTCCGGCGGGGGGCGCGGGGCGGGCCGAGCGCCCCAGGAAGCTCCCAGCCCGGGCTTCTCGCGCAGCGCCCCACGCGCGACGGCGCCCGCGTGGCCAGAGCGGCTTTCGCTTTGCGGCCCCGGCGGAGAGGGCGCAGCGCCCCTGGGGGCCACGGGGTGCGCCCGCAGAACCCCTCGCGGCCAGGCCTGGTGGGCAGGTGGGGGCGGGCCCTGCACCCCAACCCTGGCGGGGCGCCCAGCCGCGCCCTCATCACTCCGTCCCGGGGCCGCGAGGACAGCCGGCACCCCGGGGCGGGGTCTCGGAGGCCGGGGTCCCCTGGCGAGGAAGCGGGAAGCCCGGCCCCTGGGTCAGCCGCTGAGGGGGGAGCGGGGCGCCCCGCGAGTGGGGCCCCCCGGGAGGCAAGGCCGGCCTCTGAGCAGCAGGCGGGAGCACCCGGAGGTCGCCCCGCGCCCCTCCCGGGCGGCGCCTCGCTGGGCTTTCGCGGACCCCCCAGAACGCGCGGCCTGGGGTGCCCAGGTCAGGGATGAGGCGCCCGGGTGGGGGTGGGCTGGGGCGCAGGACGGGGGCGGGGTCCCCCCACCAGGACGGCCCACACGCGCTCTGCGGCCACTGGCTCCCAGGCGCAGGATCCCATCCCCTCTCGGCACCTTGGGGGCCGCTCGAGACAGGGTGGTGGCCCCCAAGTTTCAGAGCCGCGGGGATTTAAGCGGAGCACCCCCCTGCCCCCGCGGGCTGTGGCCGGAGCGCGGAAGACAGGGGAGGGCCGCACCTCTGGGGGCTGGGCAGCCCCGCCCGCCTGCTCGGGGAGATCCTGGGGTGCAGGGCCCCCCTCTAGGAACAGGGATGCCGACCGCACAAGGCCCCGGAGGCGCTAAGACGCCCCCGTTCGCCTGCGGGTCTAAAGGCCACGCTTTAAGCTGGAGCCCCGGGTCCAGGCCACGCGCAGCCCCGGCCCAGCGCGGGGAAGGGCCCTGGGGGTGGAGGCGGGGAGGGGCGCCCGGGCCCCAGCCTACGGCGGGGCGGCGTCCTGGCTCTCGGGGTCCCGGGGCGCCCCAGGGCCTCTGCTGCGCGAGCGGGAGTGTGAGGAGCGCGGAGGCAGGACGCGCTACAGTGTGTCCCGGGCGCTCAGATACAAGGTTGCAGCCCCTGCACCGCCCGCCCCGCCGCCCGCGAGCGAGCGGGGACCCCGGGAGCGCCGGAGAGAACTTCCCAGCCTGCGCCCCCAGCCCCGCCCGCTCCATCCCAGCCCCGGTGGCGAGGCCAGGCCAGAAGGGAAGCCCCAAGCCCGGCGGGGGCCTGGCCGCCGCCGATGGGCGCGGTGCTGGGGCAGGCCCTGGGCAGGCGGCCCGGGCACCCCGGGACTCCGCGGTCTCGGCCCCCAACGTCTAGGCCAAGGAGCAACCCGGGTGCCCGAGAACGGACGGATGGACGAGAACACGCGAGCCAGGCCCCCGCCGGGAGACCGAGCTGCCCACCGGGAACGTGGCGGGCAGGACCCGCGTTCAGACAGACAGACAGACAGACAGACAGACAGACAGACAGACGCGGACCCGCCCAGGGGAACCCCGGAACCCGCAGGCCGGGGCAGGGAGCGCGGGCTCCGGGCTGGGGAGGGGCCGCTACCCAACGGTGTCGAGTTTCTGCTCCGGATGATGAGAAAGTCCTGGAAATAGACGGCGCCGGCCGGTTACACACGCCGAGCGGACACGCAGGCCCTGCCCAGGGTGGCCTGCGCGGCGTCGCCCCATGGCTCCTCGCCACCGTGAGGGGCCTCCCTGGGGCGCAGGGCTGGAGCCTCAGCGCCAAGGGCCGTCCCAGCCCCCGCGGCCTGCGTCTGGCCAGGGCGCTGCCCACAGGGGCGGCAGACGCGCCTGTCCCCGCTGCTGCCCTCAGCAGTGTTGTCGGTGGTGCGGCTGCTCGGCTCCCCGCTCTGTGGTGAGTCCCCTCACCCCCTGCATCTCTGGCCCGTACCCCAGTTCTCGTGTGCATAAATAAATAAATCCTAAAGGAAAATCCTCCCCCCTGAAAAAATCCCCACCAAAACGCGCTCACGGTCCCGGGGCCAGAGGCCGCAGAGGCGCCCCCCCCCCCCCCCCCCCCCCCGCCCGCGCCGCCCGCACGGGCACCCCCACCGCAGCCCGCACGGGCACCCCCACCGCAGCCAGGTTTTGTTTCTTCTACATTTTGTTGTCCTGACCAGAGGCTCGATGAGATTTTTTTTCCTGGGGACGCTCTCCCCAAGCGCCCCTCTCTGGAAACAGGAACCGAAGCTGCTGTAGAAACGCTGACGTCCTGTCCCGTCGCAGACGCCGGATCCCCGCGGGGCCCAGAGCTGGTTCCCTTCCCTGCCTCCCCCTCCCCACTGGGCACCAGCTGGTGCCCGGAGGCCCCGCTCAGCCGGCGGCCCGACTCCGCAGCGGCGCCCCGGTCAGCCTGGTCTGGCTCACCCTGTGCTGCAGCAGCTGCGCGGGGCCTCACCCCGCCGGCGGGGCCTGTGGCCTGCGCCCCGGCACCTTTGCAAGCCGCCCCCCGGAGCCGAGGGCACGGAACCCACGGCTGAGGTGAAGGGGCCGGGCGTGGACCCGGCTTAAGGACATTTGTCAGCTGTCCGCCGTCTCGCTCCCCCATCTCGGCACGAAACAGGTCTGACAGGCAGGACGGGGCCACCCTGGAGTGCGGGGGTCCACAGCCCGGGCCCCAGCAGCGGATGCTGCCCGGTGCTCTGTGAAGCTGCGGGGAGCAAGTCCGCCCCGGGCCGCCGGGCCAGCAGGACCACAGAGGGCCTCGAGCCCGCAGGGTCAGGCCCCCCTCCAGCCCGGGCCTGGGGGGCGGCCAGTGGCCCAGGCCCACCTACCCACCGGGGCCCTGCGGGGCAGGACGCCAGAGCTCCTGGCACTCAGCAGCTGCCCGCGCCTGCGCCGGGGGATCTGAGCTGCACCCAAGGAGAATGCCGAGGGGGCGGGGTCCCAGGGGTCACCTCAGCCTGCACAGTGCCCGCCCTCTGGCTGCCCAAACGTCCTGGAGCAGCCGCCTGTGGCCACCGTCGCGGAGGGGGGCACGCGGGTCTGCCTCGCCCCCGAGGTGGGCATGAGGTCAGGCCTCCGTGGGCCAGCGCAGGGGCCTGAACCCTGACGGCGGTGCCGGGGACCCAGAGGCTGTGACCCCCGGCCCCAGGGCGCCCACGGAGGCCTGATGCGGCCGGCGGACACCCCTGCCCCGCGTGCCCGGGGCGGCCCGCTTGGCTCTTTGCGGCGAGCTCCAGCCGAAGCGCCCTGGCCAGGGGTGCGGGGCCGGGCCCCCGCAGGAGCCTGACCCTCCGCCGGGGGGTCCGCAGACCCGCGCCGCGCCGCCGCCCGCACCCTCGGGCCCTGGCGCCCCCCGCCCCCGCGCGTGCCCTCCGCCGCGGTCACGCCCGGCCCCACGCGACCCCGCTGACCGCCCGTGGCCGGCGACGCTCCCGCAGTGGCCCGCGGCCGCGGGGGGGGGCGCGGTGGGCAGTCGGGGCGCTGTGTCCGCCGGGGCCTCCGGCAGCCTCCTGCGGCAGGAGACCGGGTGGGGCCTGCCTGACCCCGCGCCCCCGCACCCTCCCGCACCCCCGCGCCCTCCCCGCGCGCCCCCCAGCCTGCCACCCCCACCTGCCCCTGCGCACCCCCGCCCCCGCCCGCGCGCCCCCCGCCGCGCGCCCCAGCCGCCCACGGCCCCGCCCCGCCCGCCACGTGACGGAGCGGCCCCGCCCCCACCGACCACGCCCACCCCAACACGTGCCAGTCGCCGGCCTCGCCCATCCACGTCACTGACAGGGAGTCGGCCCCGCCCACCGCCACGCCCACCGCCCACGTGGCGCGTGGCGGCCCCGCCCACCCACCCCGTCGGAGAGTCGGCCCCCCCCGGGCGCCTCCCGGGCCTCGGGCCTCGGCGCCTGCCCGCCGGGGCCCGGCCGGGGCGCGGGGGGGCGCGGGGCCTGCGGGTCGGGCTTCCCCGGCGGCGCCCTGGGAGCGCGCCCGCCCCCCGCCGCGGGCCCGGGTGTGCGCGGCCCCCGCAGCCCGAGGGGCGAGCGCGCAGGGCCCTGTCCGCGCAGGGCGAGCCTCGGCCCGAGCGCCTGCGGCCGCCGCGTCCCCGCCCGGGGTCCCGGGCCGGCCAGGCCGGAGCCAGGCGCGGGCGGGTCCTGGCCCAGCCCCGCGGCCGCCGCCCCGGCCAGCGCGGCCACAGGCTCCCGCGTCCAGACCCAGACCCGCCCCCGCGGCGCCCCGCGCCCAGCCGGCCCGGCCGCCCGGGGACCCCCGCCCGCGCCCCTCGCCCGGCTGCGCCCGCGGCCCCGCCTCCTCGCCCGCCTGGGAGCTGCAGGGGGGCCTCGCGGGGGACCCGGCCTCCGCCCGGGGCGGCGGCACCGGCGGCTGTCGCTGCGGCTCCGCGACTCCGCCTGGGTGACGCCGGGGCCCGGGCGGGAGCAGCCGGGAGGGCGCGGGGCGGGCGCGCAGGGGGAGCGGGCGGCGCGGCGGTGCCTGTGGATGTGGCGGGGAGACGGGGCTGCGGCCCGGACGCGGGACCTACCGCTGCTCGAGCCGGTTCACGGAGTGTCCCGAGGGGAGAGCGGAGCTGGGGGTGCTGTGCGGACGGTCGCTCTCACGGGGCCTCCCTGGGGGCGCAGGGGTTTGGCTCAGTGCTGTGAAGCTGTCCGCAGCCTCTGCAGCCAGAGTTCGATCCCCGGCCGGGGAGCGACCCACAGGGCGCGGCAGACCTCTCCTGTCTCCCCGCTGCTCCCTCAGCAGTGGATTTGGGTAGATCCGCCTGTTCCGCTCCCCACTCTGTCTCTGGGAGTCTTCTCACCTCCCGCCTCTGGCCTGTCCCCCAGCTTTTGAATGCATAAATAAATAAATCTTTAAAAAATTATAGAAAGAAGAAATGGTTCTGATAACAAGTCTGATGGTGGTGATCAAAATGATGGTGATGAAGCCTCACCCACTCCCGCAGGAAGCTGTCTTCCACCTCTGCCGCAGGGCCTTTGCACACATGCTCCCTGTCCCCACAGATGTTCCCAGCAGCTCCTCCTTGGCGGGAGGCTCTCAGCTCCCTCGTCACCTCCTTCACAAAGCTTCCCTGATCCCTCAGACCTACTAAGTGGCCCCGTCACTCCACCTCCAGGCTGCGCTATTCATTCTTCACAGGAAGCAAACTGTTTTTGTTTTTTAAAGATTTATTTATGCATACAAGAACTGGGGTGCAGACCTGAGGTGGGGGGTGAGAGGACTCCCCAGAGACAGAGCAGCGAGCAGAACAGGCAAACTGACTGAAATCCACTGCTGAGGGGAGCAGCAGGGAGGCAGGAGAGGTCTGCTGTGCCATGTGGGTAGCTCCCTGGCCAGGGACCGAACTTATGCTGCAGAGGCTGTGGGTGGTTTCATAGGTTGCATCTTAACCCCTTTCACCACCAGGGAGGCCCCAACAAACTTTTTAGACTAAAGTCTTTCTGCACTGGAAAGTGCTCTGTTTGAGAGCAGCACCCCCTCCTCCCTGTGTGGCCCTGCCTGGGGGGCCCTCAGAGCCGCCCAGGAAACACTAACCAATCACACGAGTGAAAGTTCTGTCCCCAGGCTCCCCCGCAGGGCTGGGCCCCTTGTGGGGAGGGCTCTCTGCCCTCAAGCCTGCAGCCCTGCAAGGTGGCATGGCACTGCAGGAGGAGCCTTGATGAAAAAGGGCAGAGCAGGCCTTCTGTCTCCCTTATTTTAGCCTCCATACTTCTATTAACACAGCCTTCCACGGACCCAGATTTGCAGCCATGCTTCAGCCAAGGCTCTTGAGGCGCTTTAAATAAGGGAAGAGAAGCAAACATGGGGACGCAGTGGCGTTGGCATGGTGCGGGCCGGGTCTTCCTGGAGAGCTGCCCAGTCTCACCGAGATGAAGTCGGAAATCATTGAGATCAACTGCGGAAGTGGCCCGGCCAGGCTGCTGGGCCCTGGAGACACGTGGCCCGGCTTGCTGGCCCTCCCAGGCAGAACAAAGTGGGTCTGGCCTTTCACTCATGCAATGGTGGGGGTGGTAGGTGACCCTACTCGGGTCTGGGGCTCAGTGAGGATCTGACTGGCTCCGGTGGACGCTCGTCTTATCAGCTGTGACTGGGAGGGATCCCCTCAGTACACATCCAGGAGGGAGCCCCATCCTGGTAAGTGGGTCAGCAATTTGCCGAAGAGCAGCCCCCAAAGCTGGGGTCACCCCAAAAGACCTGTGGGTCATACTCATAATACTTCGCAGGGGTGTGTCCTGGCCACGGCAGGCTCAGTGGCGGCAGCAGCGGCTGGTGGGGTGACGGTAGTCACACCCTCAGGCCGCCCAATGCCCAGGCTTCTAACCCTCATGCTCACCGTCACCCCACAGGGAGCAGAGACACCCTGGATCCAAGCCCGGATCATCCTGGGCCTGTGAGCAGTCCTGGGGGCTCACGGGCCAGGCTCAGCCAGGCAGCCACACCGCCCCGGGCAGGACCCTTTCGGGCAGGACCCTGGAGGGGCCAGCGCCCAGCCGTGCCTCCGCTGTAGCCCCGAGGTGGCTCCCCGGGCCTCCTGGGAGGCTGGGCCCAGCCCCTGGCCCCGCGCACATTCCGCGGGACCCGGCCAGTGCGGCGTGGGCCGGCGGCGAGAGGAATGAGAGGCGGGTGGGGCCCAGGGGAGGCTCCCACCGCGTCCCGCCGTCCCCTTATCTGCGGGGGTAGGGCCGGCCCCGGCCCGGGGAGCCTGATACTGAGCCTGTGGCCGGCCCCCGAGGCCCAAGCTCGCCGAGCCAGGCGCCCCCGCTCTAAATGCGAAGGGGGGGCCTGCTGCCCCCCAGGAGCGAAGACAGCCCCGCCGCCGGCAGCTGGGAGCCAGCGCCCTCGGCGCTCACCCCGGCCCCGAGGCCGCCCGGGGAGCTCTGCCCCGGGCCCCGCCTGCCCGCGCGCCCCGCGCAGCCCCGGCCCTGCCCGCGCCCCCGCGGGGCGGCCGCGACCGGCGCAGCTCGTGCGCCTCGGAGGAAGCCCGAGGAGGGGACGGCGCGGCCGGGCCAGCGCCCCGCGTCAGGCTCCCGCCCGGCCTGCACGGCACCGGCCCGAGGGCGGCCGCGCCTGCCCTGCGAGCCTGCTGGCGCCGGGCGGCCTCCCTCTCGGCGACGGGTCCGGCCCGGGCGGCCGCGCGCACGGCCCGCCTGCTCCCCGGCGCGCGGCGGGCTCGCGAGCTGGCAGCCGGGGCGCCCGCGCGGACGCGGTTCCCCGGTGGCCCCGAGGCGCCGCCGCCGGGCCCGCCCCGCGCCCCGCCCCGCCCCGCCCCGGCCGAGACGGCGCCTGCGCACACGCGCCCACGCCGCCCCGCCCGCCCCGCCCACCCTCCGGCGCGGCGCGAAGGAGCGTCCCGGGGCGGGGCTGCCGCGCGGCGCGGCCTGGGGGCGGGGCCTGGGCGGGGCGGGGCTGCCGGCGTGCGTGCGTGCGTGCGTTGCGGGGCGGGGCGGGGCGGCGCGGGGGCGGGGCCGGGCAGCGCGCGAAAGTCGGCGGGAAGCGGCGCGGCGTCCCCGGCCGGCCGCCATGGCGCAGCGCCGCCTCACCGACTTCTTCGCCCGCCGCCGGCCCGCGCCCCGCGCCCCCGCGCCGCGGGCCAAGCCGTCCTGGCGCACCCCGAGCCCCGCCACGCCCGCGCCCCGCGCCGCGGGCAGCAGCCGCAAGCGCCCGCCCGCCCGCCGACCCCGCCGCCCGCGAGGGCCCCGCGCCCCCCGCGCGCAGGAGGCTGCGGCTGCCGGCCGGGCCCGCGGTGAGCGGCGCGGGGCGCGGGGGGCGCCGAGGGCGGGGCGGGGGCGCCCCGGCTGGGGGGGCCCGCAGCGCCCGCTGGCACCCCGCCGCCGCAGAGTTGGGGGCGCGCGTTTCCGCCGGCACCCCGCGAGGGGCGCCCCCGGGGCGGCGGGACGCCCTCAGCAGACGCGCCGGGCCGCGCCCTCCGTAACCTTCGGGTCCTTCCCCAGGCGTCCGGCCCCGGCGCCCCGGAATGCTCGTCGCGCGGGAGGCAGAGCAGGCCGCGCCCCCGGCGGGCCCCTGCCCCGGCCCGCGGCCCAGGAGCACGAGGTGAGGCGGCTGGACGCGGGCTGGGGTGTCCCGGGGCCGGGCTGGCTGACAGCGCCCTGTGTCCGCAGGTCCCCGCCAGGCCCACGGCCTCTGAGCTCAGGGCGTGCCTGCGGCGGGCCCGGGAGCTGAGCGCCAGAGCCCTGAAGGACGACGCAGGGGAGCCCAGCACCCCCGAGGCCGAGGGGCACCCGGCAGAGCCATGGTGAGCTCTGGGCAGGGGGCAGAGCAGTGGCCTCCCCCTGCGGGGAGCTGCAGCGCTCGGATCCGGGCATCTCTGGGCTCTCGCGCCTCCCCGGGGCGGTTGACCCGTCTCCGCGTCTGCCTGCGCTGTGGGTCTCTGTGTCGGGCTGGGGGTGGCCGGGATGTCTGGGGTTCTGGGTCTGACTCCTGGCTCCTGCCTGGCAGTGGAGGGACCCCGCCCGCCTACCAGCGCTTCCACGCCCTCGCCCAGCCGGGCCCCCCCGGGCTCGTGCTGCCCTACAAGTACCAGGTGCTGGCCGAGATGTTCCGCAGCATGGACACCATCGTGGGCATGCTCTTCAACCGCTCCGAGACCGTCACCTTTGCCAAGGTCAAGCAGGGCGTACAGGACATGATGCGCAAGTGAGCAGGCTGGGGCCTGGCCTGGGGGGGTGGGGTGCTGCCCCGAGCCCTGGCCCACACCCTGTCCTGCAGGCGTTTCGAGGAGCGTAACGTGGGCCAGATCAAGACCGTGTACCCCTCATCCTACCGCTTCCGCCAGGAGCGCCACGTCCCCACCTTCACCGACGGCGTCCGGAAGGCTGACTACCAGCTGACCATCGAGCCGCTGCTTGACTCAGGTGAGCCCATGGGCCTGGCCCGCCCTGCTGTGGGACCTGCGTGGCCATGCCCCCGTATACAAGTAGAGCCGGGGGCTGGCCACTGCGGCTCAGCCGGCCTCTCCCTACAGAGGCAGACGGCACAGCCCCCCAGCTCTCGGCTTCCTGCCTCCTGCACCGGCGGCAGGTCTTCAGCCAGAACCTGGTAGCTCGCGTGCGGGAGCACCACAGGGTGAGTCCTGGTGGAGCTGCTCTCTACTGCCCACGCTGTCCTGCTGGGGCAGCCTCGGTCACCTAGTGGACATGGACACGCGTCAGGGTTCTCGGAGGACAGGGTGGGTGTGGCGGGGCAGCTACGGGCTCGGGCCCTGGAAGGCACCAGGTGTGTTAGCAGGAGCGGGGGTTGCTCTTTGCGCTTAGCCCAGCCACCTGGGCACAGGGAGGGGGACTGGACATCCTTGCCCCCACCCCACACGTGCCAGGTGTTACCTGCACACTCTGCCTCCCAGGCCTTCCTGGCTTCCCTGGACCCCCCCATGGTAGTGCCTGAAGACCAGCTGACACGCTGGCACCCCCGCTTCAATGTGGACGAGGTACCTGACATCGAGCCAGCCGAGCTGCCCCAACCGCCCAGCACCGAGAAGCTGGCCACCGCCCAGGAGGTGCTGGCCCGCCCGCAGCCTGATGCCGCCCAGGGTGAGGCTGGTGGGCTCCTGGGGAGGGCGGTCTGGCCCACATGGGTGGGAGCCGGCCCTGCTATAGGCCCTGGGGTGGCACCCGCCCTCCCATGTTACCAGCAGGGTACACCCTAGGATGAGCTAGGTCTGGACCTCCCAAGCGGTCAGAGGTGGGGTGTAGGTGACCTCACACAGGCTGGGCGGGAGGCTTCTAATATCTGTTGTCTGGCCCCTAGATGGAGCAGGCCCTGAGTGACCTGGCCCTGCGCACAGCTCAGCCTGGCAGCCCAGGGCCCCCCAGCACGCCCCTGCCGGTTACACCGCCAGCCACGCCAGCCACTGCCCTGAAGGGGGTGTCTCAGGACTTGCTGGAGCGGGTGAGTGTGCGTGTCCCAGGGGGTGCCGAGGGTCTGGCCCCAGCTGACCCTGTGCCCACTGCAGGTCCGGGCCAAGGCAGCACAGAGGCAGCTGGCGCAGATGACGCGGCGCCCAGAGCAGGAGCAGCGGCTGCAGCAGCTGGAGCGGCTGCCCGCGCTGGCGCGCCTGCTGCGCGGCATCTTTGTGTCGGAGCGCAGGCCGGCGCTCAGCATGGAGGTGGCTTGTGCCAGGATGGTGGGCAGCTACGGCACGGCCCTTAGCCACGGTGCGTGTGGGGCTCGTTCTTGGTCCCTGACCAGGTGGCCCCTAGGGGTGTCCCAGGGTGCACTGGGTGGGCACTGTGTCCTCAGGGGCCCCCCAAGGCTATGTGCAGGGGTGCTCTCTGCCAGGTGGCACGGTCAGGCCCTGCGGAGTGCTTCCCATCCTCGACCCTTTGCTTTCACGGGGTCGGCTGGCGGGCAGGCCTGTGGCTTGGAAGCCGCTGAGGGCCTGTGGGTGCCGGTGTTTCTGCAGGGGAGATGGAGAAGCACGTGCTGCTCCTCTCCGAACTGCTGCCCGACTGGCTGAGCCTGCACCGCATCCGCTCGGACACCTACGTGAAGCTGGACAAGGCTGCCGACTTGGCGGACGTCACTAGGAAGCTGGGCCGTGTGGCCAAGGCGGAGGCTGCATTGTGAGCCGTGGCCCCCCCCCACCTCGCCGGGCTTTTATCCCTTGCACGGAGGCGCCAAGTTCACTCCACCGCAGACCGCCTCGCCGAGGCCGCCTCTGCCCGGCCGGCCTGGGCTCCCGGCCTGGGGCCCGCCACGTGCACGATTGTCATTAAACTGATTTGCTGGTGACTGGTCTCTGCTGCCGTGGGGTGGTGTCCGAGCCCAGCCCCGTGCTGCTCTTCAGGGCGGGGGGCTTTGCCGCGGATATGTTGAATGACGCCCCTAGAGAGATCTGTGTATTGATGCAGGATGGGGCGAAGACCCCCTCGTGTGGGATGGGAGGGATCCCTCAGAGATGGGGGGACCTGCCACGCTGGTTTTGGGGCAGAGGAGGGGCCTCTGGGAGCTGCTCCCTGCTGGAGCACCCAAAGATCCGTCCCGGGCTCCCAGCGCTGAGACCGAGAAGGTGGTGTCTCAGGGCAGCCGCCCTGCTGCAGGTGGGGTGCCCCCTCACCCCACACACCCCTCCCGGCCTCGGACACCTGGGCAAGTGGTGCGCCAGCAAAACCATTTATTATGTTCGGGCTGTGCTGTTCCAGGGCCAGACCCAAAGGACCCGGGCTTGGCTGCATCTAGGCTGTCGGCTCCAGGCCGGCACCCACTGGAAGGGCCGGGGGGCGGAGAAAGTCACAGGACGTTGTGGGTGGGCAGCCAGTGCGCCCCCCTCCGCCAGCAGCCGCCTGAGGCAGGACCCTGCTTGCTGCAGGTGCCCGGATGGGGTCACTCATACTGCAGCAGGGAGAAGAAAGGCACGGCCCCCAGCGTCTCCCTGCCTTTCAGCGAGGTCAGCTCCACCAGGCTCACGCACTCCAGCACCTCCGCCTGCAGCTGGCCCAGCAGTTCACAGGCGGCACGCATGGTTCCTGGGGGAGGCGGGAGTGAGGCCCCTCGCCTGCGCTGCCCCGGGCTGCAGTCCCACTGCTCGCCAGCGGACCTAGGGTGCCCCCCGCCCCTGTGCCCGGGGCCCTCACCGCCAGTGGCCAGCAGGTCATCCACCACCACCACCTTCTGCCCTGGCTCCAGGGCATCCCTCTGGATTTCCAGCTCAGCCTGTGATGGAAGCGCAGCCTTAGAAGATGGCCTCCGGGCCAGAGTCGCCCCGGCTCCACCTCCTGCCGTGGTCCGCGTGGCCCCGCTCAGTGTCTCGGCCTCTCTGAGCTCTGCGTTGGGTCCTCTTCAACGTGTGCTCTGCCTGCGCAGCTCTCCTGGGGCGGAGGGCCGTGGCGACGAGCCCACTCACCTTCCCGTACTCCAGTGTGTAAGAGGCGGACACGGTGGGGCCGGGCAGTTTCCCCCGCTTCCGGATGAGCAGGCAGCCCAAGCCCAGCTCCTGGGCCAGGGAGGGGCCGAACAGGAAGCCACGGGAGTCCAGGCCTGTCAGGCAGAGCGGGGGTGTCGGGCGCAGCCGTGCGGCTCGGGAGCCGCCAAGGAGCCTGGCCTCGCTGGCTCCAGACAGCCCAGGGGCACCTGCTGACCAGGGCGCGGTAACCTTGGGGCCTCGGGCTATCACCTGACCTTTAACCCGCTACTGCTGAGCCCGGGGGCAGGCTGCGCCGAGGCGGGAGGAGGCCTCCTGAAGGGCACCGCAAGGACGCCTGCTCCGTGGCCCTCCGGGCAGGGGGGCTGGAGCGTCCGAGGAGGTGACCTGCGGGCCGCGCCCGGTCTTGGTGGATTCCCCGCGCCGGGGGAGGCGGGGCCCGGGGAGCCGAGCTCTGGCCGCGCCGGGCGGACGCCACGCGGTCAGGGCGACCCACGCCCGGCTGGGCCGGGAGGTGCCCCGGCGGAGGGGAGTGCCCGCCCGCCAGCGCGCCCACCGAGGCAGGCCCCGGGCGGGGGGCCCTGGGCGCCGCCGCCCGCACTTGCCCGCGATGTAGTCGATGCGGCCGCCGTGCGCCGTCCGCAGGTGCGCGGCCAGGAGGCCGATGCAGGCGCGGAAGGAGTCGGGGTCCTTGAGGAGCGGCGAGATGTCCCTGGGGGCGAGGCAGGTCGCTGACCCGGGCCCGCCCCGCAGCCCCCGGGGCCCGACCCCGGCCCGGCCCGGCCCGGCCCGCCCGCGGCGGAAGGAAGCCCGCGCCCCGCGCCCCGGCCGCCCGGAGCCGCGGCGGGACCCTCGCGTCGCCCGCCCGGCCGGCCGCACCTGAACAGCACGCCCGGGACGGGGAAGTCCGGGAAGCTGCGGATGCGCCGCGCCACCAGCTGCAGCCGCGGGTCCGCCATGTCCACGGCACGCGTGTCCGCGGAGGGCGGGGCGGGGCGGGCGCGCCTGCGCGGGAGAGCGGGGCGGGGCCTGCGCGGGAGGACGGAGGGCGGGGCCTGCGCGGGAGGACGGGGGCGGGGCCTGCGCGGGAGGGCGGGGCGGGGCGGGGCCTGCGCGGAGCGCGGGGCGGGGCGGGGCCTGCGCGGGGCGCCGCGTGTCACGGAGTCGCCGCCGCCAAGGCGCGCCCGTCCCTGCCGTGCCCGACGCGCGGGGGCCGCCCCGGGGGCGTTCGCGCGGGGCCGCCGGGCGAGTCCAGGCCCCAAGACATGCGGCCGCGCAGCTCGGACCAAACTTTGGGGACCCCCCGCGCTTTCGGCCGGGCCGGGCTTGCGCGAGCCCGGGGAGCCCCGCACGGGGCCGAGGCAGCCGGCCGCGTCGCGGCCTCCAGATGCGCGGGGCGCTCGGCGGGAGAGGCGGCGCCCCTGGCCCGGGCGGCGCACCTCGCCAGCCCGCCACGACCTCCTCAAACTGATCCCGTAAGCAGAAGGCCGGGCTGGGTGACCCGCCGTTTATTGCGAGGCTTCTCCCTGCCCACATCGGGCGGGGCAGCTTGGCACGTGGGGCGTCGGGGGGGAAAAGCCCACTCGAGGCAGGGGACCCCAACCTCGGGGGCAGGGCGCGGGTGGGTCTCCTCGGGGAGCTGGAGCTGGGGTGTCCGCTGTCCCCGCTGGGGCTGGGGAGGAAGCGGCTCACGGAGGCCCCCTGCCACCCAGGGTGCTGCTGGGGGGCCACCCGACCTCCGAGTCCAGTGCAAGCCAGCCTGGGGGCGGTCAGCGTCGGGGAGGGGCAGGGGCTGGAGTGATGTGGGGGCCGGGGCAGGGAGTCCAGGCTGGGGTTGCTCGCAGCACCTGCCACGGCTGCGGGCGGCGTCCCTGGCTGTTGGCCTGGCAGCAGCAGGCTGGGCAGAAGGCAGCAGGGCTCCTCCCACGTAGATGCCCCGCGCCTGGGCACTTGCGGCCACAGTGCAGGTGCTAGTGGCGCCAGAAACACTTTTGGGGGACAGATTCCGGGGGCGTCAGGCACTTTCCCAACTTCTCACATCCTGGGGGTGCCCAGTTCTGGAATGAAGATGGAGAACAGGGTTCACGGAGCTCCCGCCCATGCACTGGGGGGGATGCTGCCCCTGCAGCCTCGCTCCGGGCTGCAGAGGAGATGGTGACTGGAGAGGGGCCTCCGAGGGCCCCGGTTCCCCAGTGAGCAGGTCCTGGCCTCCAGGCGGCCCCTGCAGGAAGGGGCAGTGCCACCGAGGAAGGCCGGGCTGAAGGGCCTCTGCACCACTTCCGCCAGGACGCTGCCAGCCCTGCGCGTGCGGCCTGTACCGGGCGTGCTGCGGGGGCCGGGGTGCGGGACGGCAGGGTCCCCGCCTGGGTCTGCTCACTCAGGTCTCAGGGGAGTTGTGCTGGGTCGGCTGCCCCCGGTGTCTGCGTGGGGCGGGGGGGGGAACCAGGCTCATGCTGAGGGTGCTCTCAGGGATGGGACTTCTGCTTGCCGCAGAGCCCCAGGGAGGTCCCCAGCGCTGGGCTGAGCACAGGCTGCCTGTGCTCATGGCAGGCAGAAGCCGCTCACCAGGGTCCCGGCCCTCCTCACTATGCCCCTGGGGCAGCGTGGCAGCTGGCCACTGCTCAGGGGCCACAGCACACAGACCTGGTCACGGGTCAGAGAACACCACCCGAGTCCTCCCTGGGCCAGCCTGATGTGCGAGGCCAGCGCTGAGCTGGGGTATGTGGAAGGGCCCAGGGCTGGGAGCAGGAGCGTGGAGTGGTGGGGGCTGCAGAGTCCTGCACGTACATGAACAGATGCATCACCCACCCCTTCCGTGGCCACCCTGTTGCGGGTGCAGGGGCTGTCCCATGGGACCCAGAGAATGGCTGCAGAGCCTGGCCAAGCCCCTTCCTGCTGGCACCAAGACCCACAGAGGCGCCTGCGGGATGTGGCAGACACGCGGGGCGTCATGGTCACTGGGGGCTGTGCAGGCTCTAGGCTCCTGGGACTGGAGGGCCGGGCTGGGGGGCACTGAGCTGGCCTCCACCGAAGAGGCTAAGCTAAATTGCCCCGGCCTCATGGAGCGTGGGGTGCGGCCTGAACACATGCCTTGCCCAGCTTTGTGTGAAGGGTGCCCGGCAGACCCCCTCACAGGCTCGGAGTCCTTCCCTGACCTGGGTCAGCTGGTCCCCCCACAGGGTGGCCACACCCGCTGGCCGTCGGACCCAAGTGTTCGGGCAGCACAGGTTTTGGCTCACCCTGCATCTGCAGAGAGCACCCCCGTGCCACGCCTGTGCGATGAGACAGCAGCAGCAGAGAAGTGCGGTTCCGGCCGTGTGCAGCGCCCCCTCCCCAGAGCACAGGGCTCCCGGCACTGGCTGGACCCTCGCGGGCCCTGTGGAAGCGACCTGGGAGTGCAGCCCCCAGGGCGCCCCATCCTCCCGGCCCCTGCCAAGCCGGCCCACTCACCATTACAGCCGGGTCGCACACGTTGAGCTGGGGCTGCCCGGGGACCAGGGACTCCCGGTGCTGCCGCACGGCCAGGGTGATCCAGCCGAGCGCCTGCTGGTACTCGGCGTCCTCCAGGCTGCCGGAGAGAGTGCTGGGTCATTGCGGGGCCTGGGGTCGGGGGCTCGCGGGGGGCAGGAGGGACTGGACAGAGAGGCTCTCCCTCCACGGGTGCGTGCCCAGGCCCGGAGCGGCTGCACGGCTGCGCGTTTCTGCACGGAGGGCTGTGGTCCCGGCAGAGGGTGGGAAACCGCAGGCCGGCTCTGAAGGCCCAGCTCAATGCTTTCGAGGAAGCCTCCGACCAGGCCCCAGGAGGTCATGAAGGGGACTGGAGGTGACGCCACCCAGAGGCACGGCCTTGGGCCCAGGCTGGGCTCTGCGCTGTGGGGGCGGGGCGGAGGGGGCAGGCGCAGTGGGTGTGCCAGCGACGGAGCGGAGGCCAGGCTGTGGGTGCAGCGGCTCGGGCGCGCCTGCTCACCTGAGGGGGAACCGCTCCCCGGGGTCGCGCCCCAGGTGGAAGATCAGGGGCAGCTTCGTGTGCTCCTCCTGCGTGTGTGTGGTGACTCCGGGGACGCTCTGCCCGGGGCAGAAGTCGATGCCCTGGAAGGAAGCGGGGATGGTGAGGGCCCCCCTGCGCACCCCCTCCACACCCTCGGGCACCCTGTCCATGTGGGCTCCTCTGCCTGACACATCCGGGGCTCAGTCCCTCCCTACAGGCCACTGACCCCGCATGCTCCCTGGGAGGAGACACTGCCCAACTCTCCCCTCCAGGGTGCGGGGCCACGCCAGAGAGAGACCCGGGAACAAGCCCGGACTCAGGGTGACAGAGCTCGGGGAGCCCCACCCTCGGGGTGCCCTGGCCTGGGCAGGGAGTCAGCAGGGCCAGGGTCTCCCCACCCTGAGGCCTTGCCACCCCAGGGCCCTGCCCACCACCCCGCTCGGCAGCCACCGGAGCACCGAGGCCCCAGGCTGGGGCAGCAGCTGGGGGGCCCTGAAGCCAGGGCTGCACCTAAGAGGGGGTGTGGGCAGCCTGTGGTGGGTTCCCTGGGGGAGCTGGAGAGCAGCTGGGCGTTTCCAAGTGTGGACGGAGACAGGCCGTTTGGATGCAAACCAAGGAGCTGCTTAATGAAGGTCCCCGTTCTCGGGAGGCTGGCGGTGGGAGGCCCTGCCAGGGGTCCCCGCTGAGTCGGCCCCGGCCCTCTGCAGCCCAGGGGCCACGTAGCCAGGGCGGGGTTCTGCTCCTCACACCAAAGCTGGGGGCCGGACAGCACTGACCTCCGGAAGGTGGGCAGGGTAGAGAGAGCTCCTGGGACAGCCCAGGCGCGCCAGCCCGCACAGGGCCCAAGCAGCCCCCCGGCGGGGCGGTCTCGGGTCACCAACGAGCGCGGGTGTCCTGCGCAGAAAGACCTCGACCCGAGGCGGGTGGGCTCTGGGAGACCCAAGTGGACAGGAACTGAGGGGCGGGAGCAGGTCACGGGGCTCCTTACAGCCCAGGCCATCGCCACCTCTGCAGGGGCCCTGCGGCCGCATGCCCGCCCGAGGACCGGGGAGGGGTGGTGCCCGCCCCGCCCCACCTGTCTGAACTCCTCCCAGGAATTGGTCCAGGTCCAGAAGTGAGCCTTGTACCGGCCGAGGGTGACCGCCATCAGCGCGTTGCCCCGGTAATAGAATATGGGCCTGTCGGGGCGGGACCGGGTCAGGACGCTGGCGGGCGGCTCCCGTCTCCAGCCTATGCCAGCGGGAAAAGCAGACACCCCGCCCCCCGGGATTCCCGAGAACGGGCCTGGGCTGGAACGCAGCTGGCTGGGTGTCTCGGCAGGCTGGTGCCTGGGCCTGGGCCTCGCAAGCCCCAGCCCTGCAGTGGTGGGGCCCAGGGGGGACAGCGGCCCCCCAAGGCCTCCCTTGGGCCCTGGGCACCGCAGGCCGCCGGAGCTGGTCCCGCGGGGCAGAGGAGGCTCATTTTGAGCAAAATGGCAGCCGGCCTCGGAGGCAAGAAGCTGAGGGGAGAGGGGCCGGCTCCAGAGCTGGTGGCTCCAGAGCTGGTGATTGGGGCAGCACATGCGCGGCGTGGCTCCCGCCCACGGCCTGAGGCAGGAGCGAGGGGCCCAGGGGAGGAAGAGGCCCTGGACCCCAGAACCAGCCCATGGACCCTGCGTCCGCGCCGCGGGGAGCCCGCCCGTGGGGAGCACGGGGCCCACCTGTCAGTCAGTCGGCCCTGCAGCATGGCGGGGAGGAGGTCCAGGCCGTCCACGACCCTGTCCCGGGGCGGCTGCAGGCCAGCGAGGGACAGGCTGGTGGTGAAGAGGTCCATGACGCTGCCCACCTGAGGGCTCACCTGGGGGGACAGGAGGTGTCGGGACCCGCACACCCGGCCCAGCCCCCAGCCCCACGCGGGGGTGGGGTGTCCGCGTCGCAAATCTGCGACAGGGGCGTGACGGGGCTCTCCAGTGTTCCCCCTTTACCTTTTTAAGGGCCGGAAAAGAAAGGGGGAAGAAGGAAGCTGAGGGAGAGCGGCCCGCGGGCACCTGTGCCCCACACCAGGGACGTGCTGCGGGGGCACGTGGGGTCTCGGGAAGCGATTCCCTGAGGCCGCGCAGCGTGGAGGCCACCGGCAGCCGCCAGCGCTGGGCTCGGGGTCCGCGGCCAGGTGCAGGCAGGCAGCGCGTGGAGGCCCAGGCGGCACAGCACCCGGGCCCAGGCGCCTGGGAACCACGGACCCAGCACGGTGCGCTCCGGGGCGAGGCGCAGGGCGGGCAGAGGGTCCCCACCCGGAGGGCGTCCTCGCGGAGTCTTCTTGGGGCAGCGGGAGAGGGGTCCCGGCCGAGGAGCTGGGCGGGGGCGCCCCTCGCAGGACAGCCACCGGTTCCTGGCCGGCCCTGGAAGGGCTGGAGCCTCACGTCCCTCCAGACCCACGCCCCGTCCTGAGTCTGCCCTCGTTCTCACAGGGGGCACTGGTGACCCCAAGTGACCCACATGCCGAGGGGCCACTGCTCAGGACCCCTGGGGGCCACCGTGGTGGGAGAGGCCAGTCTGTGGGGGGGGGGTGGATGCCAAGGCCCAGGCTAGGGTCTGCTCAGCGAGGCCCACCAGGGACTTGGGCCTCCGTGCGCCGATGGGTGGGTCCCCAAGGACGCCCGCGGGTGTTTCTGGACAGCAGAGGGGAGGGCCCACACGGCCTTCCAGCAGGGAGCAGCCCCGGCCCACCTGGCGGCCTTGGGAAAAGGCAGGAGTCGGGTCTGCCCCGGGGCCCTGGGCAGTGGCCGGGGAGGCCGGCTGGGCGGGACCCGACTGACAGTGGTGAGGGGCGGGCTCTCAGCACCGCGCTTCCGAGACGCCGGACAGGCAGCGACCTGCAGCTGGCATCGTCCTGACGCCGCGTCCGTGGGGCCTGGACCAGGCCGGTGCAGGAGCCCCGCGTGGGGACCCGGCAGAGCGAGGGGCTCCGGGCAGGCCAGCGCAGGGGCCAGCGCCGGGGGCAGACGGCCCTGGTGTAGGAGGGCGGAGGGCGGCAGACGAGCCCGCCGCTCGGGCCGCGAGACGCTCTGGAGACGGGTCTGGACGTGGCGGCCGCGGGGAAGGGGCCCGCTTACCGCGGCAGGAGCCTCCCGCGCCAGGGCGAGTGGCTGGGCCAGGGCAGGGATGCCGCAGGGGACTGTCCAGGGCCCCCCGCTGCCCCGCCCCCTGCTGCAGAGAGGGCTTCCTCACCCCCAGATGCTGAGGCTGACCTGGCCGGCGGGGATGTGGCCGGGCCACCAGGCGATGGCGGGCTCCCGCACCCCGCCCTCGAACGTGGTCTGCTTCCCGCACAGGAAGGGCCCGTTGCTGCCGCCTGCGGAGGGAGAGCCCCGGTGACCCGGGCTGCCAGAGCCAGGGCCAGCAGGACCCCGGGGTGGAGGAAGGCCGACGCCTGCGGGGGCCGAGCCTCGGGGAGGAGACGGGTTCGGCTGCATCAGCCGCCCACATGACACCCGGGGCAGGGCTGGACCAGGGCACCCCCCTCGCCGTGCTGGGCCTCTCGGCCCCCCGCAGCTGCGCTCAGGGAGAGGGGCCCTTCCCCTCCCTCCTGGCCTGGTGGGGAGCCCCAGGGGTGGCCGGCCTCCAGGCCCCCTGAAGACAGAGAGAGGCGCGGGCACTGCAGGGGGCACACGGCCAGGGCTGCTGTGTCTGTGGGAGGTCGCTGGGGACACGTCACCTGCAGCCGGGCAAACCCGAGACCAGCTCGCCCAACATCGCATGGGGCAGGCCGGTCAGGGGCGGGGCCGGGCAGGCGGGAGGAGACCCCATCGGGCCCGCACCCCACGGCGGCACGGGCAGGGGAGCACGCGGCCCATCCTGGAGACCACGCTCCGGCACCGCCGACGCCCTTCCCGGGCTGGGGACGCTGCTCCACGGACTCGTGTGACCCCAGGCCGCTCGGGTCTTCCCTCAGCACAGGGTGGGCCCAGAGCCCCTCCACCTGCCCCGGGGCGGCGGCGGGCCCTGCCTTGTCTGGGGGCAGAGATGAGGGCGGCCCCGTTGTCGGACGTGAAGAACACGAAGGTGTTGTTCGCGGCGCCCAGGTCCTGGAGCAGACTCAGGATCGCCCCGATGCTGTGGTCGATCTCCCGGACGGCATCCCCGTACCTGTGGGCGGAGGTGGCCGGAGACACCCGTCGGCAGAGGGCGGCCGAACCAAACTCCGGGGGCTGGCGGCCGCTGCAGGTGGACCCGTGGCCCTCCCCACTCGGGGCGCAGGGGCCCACGGCCCCGCTTGATACTCACAGCCCACGCCGGCTGCTGCCCAGGAAGCGTCTGGACGCGTAGACGGGGGCGTGCGTGGCGTCCACGGCCCAGTAGAGGAAGAAGGGGCGCTGGGCAGCGTGCTGCCTCTTGATGAAGTCCAGGCCCTCCTGCGAAGCGCCGGCCGTCTGGCTGTGTCCGGGCGGCCTCCCCAACCCCGAGCCCGCCCGCGCCTCACCTGCAGGTAGAGCTGAGTGAGGTTGGCCTCCCCTGTCTTCAGGTTGATGGGAAATTCTTCATAATACCTGAAAGCAACCCAGACCACGGAGAGGTCAGCACGCGGGCGGGACAGGCGCCCCTCCCTGAGCTCAGCGGCGAGGGCGGGACCCGAACATGAGGGAGGACACCAGGGAGCCAGAGGCTGCGCTGCTGCTCGGGCCACGCGTAAGGCCAAAGGGCGAGGGGGGGGTCCTGGCGACCCCCAGAAAGCCAAGGCTTCTCTCTGAGGACACGAGAATGTTCTAGGGCAGCTGACGGCTGCCCGGGCCACGAGCACGAAAATCTGCCCACCACGTGCTGCCGAATTGTCTGCCCAAAGCCGGGCGCCTGTTTACAGAGACCCCGGGCCTCCCCGGGGGCGCAGGCGGTTGAGCGCAGCACCGGGAAGCTGTCCGCAGCCTCTGCAGCACCGGTTCCATCCCCGCTGGCCGCGGAGCAACCCACACGGCGAGCAGAACCCCGTCTCCCCGCTGCTCCCCTCAGCAGTGGCTTTCAGTCCTTCTGCCTGTTCTGCTCCCCACTCTGTCTCTGGGGAGTCCTCTCACCCCCGCGCCTCTGGCCTGTACCCCGGTTCTTGTATAGATAAATAAATCTTACAAAATCATGGCGTTAAAAACACCCATTCCAATTAATAAAAAACAAAACGAAAGCGTGACCCGCCCTGCCCTTTGGTCCCTCGGCGCGTGAGGGGAGCACCTGTGAACCACCCAGCCGGGACACAGCAGGGCAGCGGGACAAGCGGAGCTGCCCAAGTCTGAGCGCGCCTGGCCTGGCCTCAGTACACCAGCCCAGAGACCCGCGGCCACCCCCTTGGCCACCCCGGGCCCAGGAGGGCTCAGCCCCGGTGGGGGTTTGGGAGGGGCGCAGCCCCGCACATCTGGAGCCCGCCCACGCCAGCGGCGCTCCCGAGCCCTGGGCTCCCGGCTCTGGGCGCAGGACGGCCGCGGGGCAGGGCGTCCAGACCTGGAGCCCAGCGGAGGGACGGTTACCTGCCGACCATCTCCCAGTCTCTGTACACGGGGATGTTGGGCCGGACCCTGTTGTCGTAGGGTCCAAAGTGGCAGTTGGGGGAGCCAAACCACTCGTCGAATCCATGCTTCAGGGGGTGGTATTTAGGCCTGTGGCCCAGGTGCCTAGAACAGGAACCCAAGACACCTCAGGGGCCCTGCACAGGGACCCCCAAAGTTCTGGCTGCGCATCCAACCACCTTCACAGAAGACTTAACGGGCCAGCCCCAGCGCACCGAGCCCTGGCCCTCGAGGGGTGCACCGGGATCCCTGCCCCGGGCTGCCCAGGCTAGAGAGTGTCCGGCAGCACCGCACGGGCGCGGGAGGCGGAGGCCAGCAGGCAGGGCGCTCAAGCATCCGTCCAGGGGCTGGGTGGGCTCAGGGAGTTGGTGCTCGTGAGGCACATCCCCTCCCGCCCAGAACCCCGAGCCCGCCCATCTCCAGCCACCTCTGCCCAGGCCTCCCAGAGTGGTCCTCAGAGGCCAGGGCCCCTGAGCCCGCCTCAGCACTTATCCAGCCCTGGGGGCCACGTCGGGCGTCTCTGGGCCCTGTTGAGCCCACCCCCGCACCTCTCCTCCACAGTCCTGACCCTCACAAGCCCACTGACACGCCCATTCCCACCCGCGTCCATGACCCTAAGCAGAGGCCACCAGGCCCAGAGGCAGAGCTGGGGCGCGGCGGGGTCTCCTCAGCCCAGAGCCCTGCCTCAATGCCCTGGGGGCTTCCCGGCCCATCGGGGAGCCCCACAGCGCCTGCAGCAGCCCCCACACCCGCCCCGCGAGCCATGTACGTGGGCAGGCGCCGCAGGAGAGGGCGCCTGAGTGCAGCACAGGGCAGAGGGCGCCTCGGCAGTGCATGCGGGAGACCGAGGGAGGGGCCAGGGAAGGCGGCCTGGGGCTTGCTGAGCTCCCGGTGTGGGAAGGAAAGGGCGGCCTGACCTCCACGACGCCGCCTCAGGGCTGTGCGCTCCGAGCCTGGAGCGGCTGCGCCACGCGCTCAAGGCCACGTCCACAGCGTGACGGGGCGCGGCCCCTGAGTCATCACTGCGGTGGCCCCGCGCTGACCGTCCCCTCCTCGCGCCTCCATTTCACCCCGGCAGCGCCCCGTGCCTGCGGGTGGTGCAGCGCCGCAGGCAGAAGTGGAGCAGAGCAAGGCCGATGGGGCGGGCCCCCATGCAGGAGGCCCGGGCATCGCCTAAGGTGGGCCGAGGACACGCACGGGGCCAGACACAGACCTCCCGCCCCGTCTCCGTGGCTGGGCGCACACGCGAGTGCCAGGATGGCGCCTGGCAGTGCCGGCGAGCGGACTCACCACTTGCCCACGATCTTGCTGGCGTAGCCGGCCTCCTTCAGGAGCTCGGGCAGCAGGCGCTCGGAGTCGGGGATGCCGCCCGTGACCTCCTGGGGCGTGTAGGCTGCAAGGGCAAGGCTGTGAGAGTCCGCCCAGCGGCCGCCACCAGTGTCCTTACCTGGCCATGGATCTGAGCGCTGGCCTGCGGGGCCCACGGGCAGGGTCCTGGGCACTGCACCTCCTAGTTGGCACCAGGGCCCAGGGCCAACCCCGCCTCGGGGGCCTGCGCGGTCAGAGTCCCCGGCCTGCCCTGCGCTCCCTTCTCCGGAGCCGGCTGGTCTGGGAGACGGCTCCTGGGGACAACGGTGCGCGCGCCCGCTTCCTGAGGTCGCACCCGAACCCACAGCCTGTCCGCCCGCATGCTCCGCCCCCCCCCCCCAGCCGTTCTGGGGAGGGCGCCCCCCCCTCCTGCCAGACCCGCTGGGCGGTGCCGGGGAACAGGGCAGGCCACAGCGCCAGCCTCTGCCGTCCAGGGGAGGGGAGGAGCCCGCCGCGCTCTCCGACAAACACCGTTTCGACCGGGGCCGCCGCCTGCTTTACGTGTTCTAACAAGACCCTCGGCGCCGCTCAGGGGAGGGCGCCCTGCGCCCCCGCGTCCCCTCCTGCCCGAGCAGCAGCGCCGCGTGGGGCCTACCGTTCCTGGCGTGGCCGTTGGTGGTGTAGAAGCCGTTGCGGATGGGCAGCCGCCCCGTGAGCAGGGCCGCCCTCGCTGCGCGGGGTGAGAAAACCAGCTCGATGAGTGGGGGCTCCCCAGGCGGCGGTGACCCGGGACCCGTGCTCCTCAACCCGTGGCCTCGAGGCGCCTGGCGGGGCGGACCGTGCCTGAGGCCGGTCGCAGGGCCTGCAGCTCAGAGCCCCTCCCAGGACTGCCGTCCTGACGCCCCGCCCTGCCCGCTCCCTCCTGAGGTGGGTTTGTGCCGCTTCCTCTCCGCCTGGCCGCCGCCTGCGCCGCGGGTCCTGCTCGCCGCGAGCACAGTGGCCAGCACAGGCAGCAAGGTCCCCCAAGCCCTGCCCAGCTTCCTGGCTCCGGTGGCCCTGCACCCTTCGCTGAGGGGGTGGGACTCCTGCCCCACACTCACACGGGGAGCACAGGGGGTTGGCCGCGTAGAAGTTCGTGAAAAGCATCCCTTCTGCTGCCATTCGGTCCAAGTTCGGGGTCTCCCGGGAGGGCTCTCCGTACACCCCCAGATCGCCCCACCCCATCTGCGGGGAAGAATGTGGAGGGTAGAAGCAAGCTCCTCTGTCTAGGGGCAGAGAGACCAGGAGGGGCTGCCTTGCGCCCACAGCAGCAGCGCCCCCACCAAGCCTGGCCTGGTTGGGCACCGGGGGTCGGCTGCTGCCCCAGGACAGTCCTCGTGCCCACCTTTGCACAGCCTCAGATGCCAGCGTGGGGCTCACAGGGCAGCAGCCACAAACCCAGCCCTGCCTTCCACACAGAGGCCAGCCCGTGCCCAAGTGCAGGTGCAGAGGTGAAGGCAGCGGGGACCCGCCAAGCTACAGGGCCAGCGACCCGGCGGCCGACCCCAGGGAGCCGACTGACATGGAAAGGGGAGCCACAGCCACAGGAGCATGACCCTGAGGCCCAGCGGGCACCCTGGAGCCCCCAAGGGCGGGGCTCGGGCCCTGGGAATGGGACCATGTTTGCACAGTGGGTACGACCAGCAGACTGTGTGGGTGCGGGGGCCGGGCCCAAGCTGGAGACGGGCTGTGTGCATAGAAGGCATTGTGCCGGCCCAGGGGGTGCCCAGATGGGCCCGCATCCCAGGCGGGAGCCCCAGTGGGCTGCAGTGGGTCCAGAGGCACCCGGCACCTGAGGGTACCTCCCAGAGTAAGGCAGGGGCTGAGCAAGGCAGAGGCCCCCAAATTCCAGCTCCCAGATGCAGCCAAGGGCCCCTGCTCGAGACCACCGTCACTGCTCGCTCACGTCCAGCTGTGAAGGAGTCAGTGACCCCACCCGCACCGAGAGGGGCGAAGGCACCTCCTCTCTCCTGGCTGTGGCTCCTGCTCATGGGGGCAGAAGCCAGCCGACCGGGGCCCTGGCCCCCCCCTCACTCCCCTCTGTGGGTGGGAACTTCAAGGCTCCTGAGCGCCAGGACCCTGGTCACTGGCCACGAGGGGCTTCTACCGACAATGGGGCCCGTACGCGTCCATGTGGTGCGCTGGCCCTGCAGGCTAGCCCGGGGTGACACAGCAGCTGGCCCTGGGGCTCTGACTCCGACAGAGTCGGGGTAACCCTTCCCCATTCTGATTCACCCAGGCAAAGAGACTCAGGAGCCCTCAGGGCCCGCCGCCGCCAGGGCCACAGCTGCGTGCCAGGCTCCCAGGCCCTGCCCGGCCAGACCTGGGGAAGAGCCAGTCCCTGCGGAGACCGTCTCAGCCCCCACCCTTGCTGGCGCGCGTGCACAGGCTGTCTGGCTCTGAGGGTACAGGAGGCACAACCGCCCCGACGGCCGGGGGCCCTGTAAGCCCTTTGTGGGGGCCTGAGGCCGGAGTCCGGCTGGCCAGAGCCCCCCCCTGGTCAACTCGGCTCAGGGCAGCGCCCCTCCCCCCCAGGCCTATTGCTCATGAGGGTGGGCGAGGCCACGTGGGGACAGGGCAGGTGAGAGGGCAGAGCCAGGGGGGTGTTTGGGGGTGGTGCCGGGTCCCAGGGCCTGAGGCTAGGCGGTCACAGTTGGGGGAGCTGGGATCCCCATTTTTGCTTTCACTCTTCATGCGCCAGGGAAGTCCTAACCGGCACACAGGCTGAATGGAACAGGGGCCTCAGACTTTGGGGTGCAGCCATCCAAGCAGCACTCGGCCACAGGAGAGCACTGGCAGGGGAGCCCTCGACCACCCCGGACTTGGTGGGTGCGGCAGGGTCCTGCTCACAGGGCGCCCTCACATCACCTCCCTCAGAAAAAATATGTGCTGACGCCACCCACTACTCAAGACCCCCAGAGACCTCGGAGGCCCCCATGTGTGCTTTGCAGCAGCCGCCTTCGAGAGCCAACAGAGACGCGTGTTGAACGCGGATGTCCAGAGCATCATGGTTCCAACGAGGCCCCGACTCCAGCAAGAAGCGCCCTGTCCCCAGGCCAGCCCTCACCGGTGCGCGGGCCCCTCCAGATCCGGGGAGGCCATCAGAACCGCCCAAAGGGGCGGCCCCGTTGCGACTGGATATGAAACAGGAACCAGTGTCCGTGACTACGTCTGTGGGCTTCCTGAGCATGCTTGGCCGCCTGGCCGTGAGGGCCAGGGACCGGGGCGCTAGCTGCGGGCACTGGGGGGCTGGGGCTCCCCAGTGGGTTTTTATCAGTTACTTAGTAACAATCACGAGCTCAGAGTTACTCTCCTTCTCCCTGGCGGGAGGTGCCTGGGGACTTCAGAGCCGGTGGCCAGCCCCCCAGAAGCACGCCTGTCATTAGGGGCATGAACACTGCTCAGCGAGACTCCGTGCTGGCCGGCTGACAGGTATGCAGCGTCCTGGGGGGCTGTCCTCCAGCCACTCCGGGGTGAGGAAAGGGCCCCCTGGCATCTCCCGGTCACCCCAGACTTGGGGGGCCTGGCGGGCAGCTCGGCTTCTGGCTGGAGTCCCGCCACCAGTGACTGCGCCGACCAGGTGACCCTGCAGACCAGGTGACCACGGTGACCAGGTGACCGCGCCGACCAGGTGACCCTGCAGACCAGGTGACCGCGCCGACCAGGTGACCCCGCAGACCAGGTGACCTTGCAGACCAGGTGACTGTGCTGACCAGATGACTGCAGAGACCAGGTGACCGTGGAGACCAGGTGACCACGGCCTAGCACTGCACACACCGACAGGTGCCTTCTTCCCGCCCACAGAAGTGCCCTCGGGCCAGTCCCCAGCAGGGTGGGAGCAGCCTGGGGGGACGGCTGGGGCAGCAGGCGGGCAGCACCCCGGCAGGCGTGCAGGCCCCGGCGTTGGTGGGCGCGGTGCCCCCTTCCCTGCCCAGACGCTGGGCAGTGAGGTGGGGGGCTGGGCTGCCGCCCCCGCCCTCCCAGAGCCCGGGGACAGGAAACCGACCGGCTCCAGGACGGCGGACGTGGACGGTGCCGCCCCTGCTGGGCCGCAGCCTCGGGGAGGGCGGGGGCAGTGGGGGGCCCCCGCGGCCGGCCCCACGGTGGACCCGAGCCCAGGCCCTCGGCGCGCCCACGCCCCCCGGTGCCCGCGGGCCCAGGCCTTCCGCGGCTCCCGCCCGCACTCACGTCGTCCATGAGCATGAGGAGGATGTTGGGGGGACGCGGGACGCCCGCGGCCTCCAGCCCCCAGGCGCCCAGCACGAGCAGCAACAGCCGCCACGCCGTCGCCTCAGCCGCCTCCGCCATGACCGCCGCGGCGACCGGTGCCCGGAACCCGACGGGCGAGCGCGACCCCCGGCGGGGCGGGGCGGGGCGGGGCCTGCGGAGACGGGCGGGGCCTGCGGAGACGGGCGGGCGGGGCGGGGCCTGCGGAGACGGGCGGGGCCTGCGGAGACGGGCGGGCGGGCGGGGCCTGCGGAGACGGGCGGGGGCGGAGACGGGCGGGGCCTGCGGAGACGGGCGGGCGGGGCGGGGCCTGCGGAGACGGGCGGGGCCTGCGGAGACGGGCGGGCGGGGCGGGGCCTGCGGAGGGACGGGGCGGGGCCAGGGCGTCAGCGCGACAGAAGGAGGCGGGCTCTGAGAGCCGCGTGACCCCGGGGGTCACGTGACGCGCGCCGAGCCTCTCAAGATGGCGGTCTGCGTAGCGGTGATCGCCAAGGAGGTGCGTAGCGGCCCGGCGCCCCCGCAGCTCGCTCCCCGGTGCGGGCGGAGGGCGGGGGCGACGGGCGGCGGCGGACCCCTGCCCGGAGCCCGGCCGGGCCTCTCGCCTGCGCTCCGTGCGCTCTCAGAGGGCTCCGGCCCTGCCCCGGCCTCCGCGCCCCCTGCCCCTGCCGCGAGCCGGCTGCGCCGTCCCGCCGCCTCCCGTCCGCTGCGCCGCGGCCACTGCGCTGTCGTCCCGCCGAGCGGATGTGCCGCGGCGCTGCCCACGACTTCCCGGGACTTCGCGGTGCCTTAGGACGAGACCCGCGTAGCCGGGCGTCCCCCCAGGCCGCATCGCGCTCACACCCCCCTCCAGCCTGCGGCCTCCCTGCGCTCACCTCTGGGCCCTCGCGGGGTGGCCGTCTGCGCGCGGCTGCTGCACGGCTCCGCCTCGTCTTTGCCTTTTCTGGAGGATCGGATCGTGAGGCCGTCCTGCCTTAGTATTTGCCGTCATCTGTGTGTTATTTGTTGGCCAGTTTGTCGGTGTCTCCCTCGCAGCCGTCAGCTTGGGTGGGGTAGGGACAGCATGCTGCTCACATCCGCGCTGCGCCGGGCACACGACCGTGGAGGGGGCTGTATGTGGCCTGGGGGGTCCCTAGGAGAAGCCGACATGCCCTGGGTAGGACGTTTGGCAGCGCAGACACCACGGAGGTTTGGGCGGATCTTGAAGGGCTTGATGAATGGGCAGGCCCAGTGTCTCTCCAGGAGGGAGAGGTGGCAGCAGGTGATGGACGGGAGGTACTAGCTTTGGGGGGCCAGGGGGAGAGGTGGACCTTGCCCCGAGGGAGGCAGCTGCAGTCTGTGCGCTGACAGAGCTGGTTGTCAGGCCACACCCAGACGCGTTCTTCTGAACCACCTTCTCTCTCCTGCCCATTTAGCAGTATAGACATATGCAGGTGTTGTAGATGACATTGGGTCCCCTGAAGGGTGGACCCCCAGCAGTTCTTGTGAGCACTGGGCTTTAAAGAATGAGGGTGTGCCTGTGGCCAGTTGGAGATTGGCCAGGGACTCTGGCCGGGGTGACTGTGGCCTGGGTTCTCACTTCAACTGCCGTCGTCTTTTCTTGCAGAATTACCCCCTTTACATCCGCAGCATCCCCACGGAGAATGAGTTGAAGTTCCATTACATGGTGCACACATCGCTGGACGTGGTGGATGAGAAGATCTCCGCCATGGGGAAGGCCCTGGTGGACCAGCGGGAGCTCTACCTGGGCCTGCTGTACCCCACAGAGGACTACAAGGTGTATCCTTTGGGTGGGAGGCTCTCCCACAGGCCGCACAGAGGTGGCACCGGGCCGCATGCTTTTGGGCTGCTCGGTTTCTTCCCAGGCGGCTGTGCCGCTTGCCCTCCGTGGGATCCCTCTGAGCACCATGATCTGTGGGACTCCAGACCTTTAGCATGAGGGGTGTATGCCTGGCGGGGTTTGCTGTATTCTCAAGACCTTTGTGGCTCGCCCTGCAAAAGGAACTGATTCAGAAAGAGGGTGAGTGCTCCAGGGTCTGGGCAGGCGGATTCCAAGTGTGAATCAGTATAGGGCCCAGCTGCAGGCTTGCGCTGCCCACAAACCCCAGGGCTGCCCGGAAATGTGCCTACATGGTGCCTCGTGGGGGTGCGGTCTGGCCCACCTGCCCTGAGGTGGGTGTCTTGCTTCTTGGGTGGAGCTGGTCTGGGTGCTGTTTCGTGCTCCCTGACCTACTGTGCAGCTACGGCTACGTGACCAACTCCAAGGTGAAGTTCGTCATGGTGGTAGACTCCTCCAACACGGCCCTGCGGGACAATGAGATCCGCAGCGTAAGTGCCGGGTTGTGTGGCCCTGGAGGGCTGCTGCTTCTCTTCCCCTTGACTGGGGGGAGGCGAGGCGTCTGTGTGACACCCAAGGGCGGGCTCTCACCACAGATGTTCCGGAAGCTGCACGCCTCCTACACGGATGTGATGTGCAACCCCTTCTACAACCCAGGGGACCGCATCCAGTCCAGGTGGGCATCCCGCGGGTCGCCCTGCTGACCAATGGGGAGGGGTGGTCTTCCTCAGGGAGGGGTGCTGCTCCCCTGGGCAGGATTCTGACACCCCAGGACCCCAGCTTCCTGGACAGGCTCTTCCTAGGAGAGCAGAGCTGGGGGCAGAGCTCGCCTATGTGGTTTCCCAGGTGTGCTGGGCAGGGGCACCTCCACAGAACCCCGGAGGTGGGATTGTGGACAGGCCTCTGGCAAAGCGCTGCCTCATTGAGCGTGTGATGTAGAGGCCAGCTGCAGGCCCCTCCCAGGCAGCTTTTGGATTGATACGTTAGAACGTCACCGAGACACCCCCTGGGAGGTGCCCACGAGCTCATGCTCCCTGGTGTTTCCTGTCCCCCAGGCCCTGTTCCCAGAGCTCCTGCAGGCAGCAAGGGTATGCGCCATACCCAAGCCAGGGCTTTCTCATAGTATCCCCTTAGCCGCAACTGTGTCTGGGGTCCCACATGCAGAACCCCTGATCTCTGGGCCTCGCAGGGCAGGAAACCAGCCAGGAAAGGGAGGCGGTAGGAGGGATGTACGCTGGCCTCTGTGCACCCGGGACTGGGCTGCGGGGCAGCTAGGCTGGAGGCAGCGCCTGCCGCGCTGACTGGCTCCTCTCCCCGCAGGGCCTTCGACGGCATGGTGACGTCCATGATGATCCAGGTCTGCTGACAAGAGAAGCGGCTGCTCGTTGCGTGGCCTTTACCCTCCCGTCTATCGCTTCTGTGTCTCCTTGCGTGTCCTGGCCGCGCAGGCGCGTGTCCACTAAAGTCGTGTAAGGTTAGAGTTGGCTTCTTTCTTCTGTATCAGCAGAGGATTTGACACTGGGCTTTTGGGGTGGGGGCAGAGGTCAGGGTGCAGACAGCCGGACACCACTGTCCCCAGGCGTGCGGGGGCGTGGGGTGGCAGGACCCAGGAAACTTGGAGCCCTGCAGTGAGGAGGCGGGTCTGCGGTGTGGAGGGGCGGGGGGGTCCGGCCTCTGCTCTGTCCCGTGTTCTGCCGCACCCTCCGTGGGCTGGTGGTTGGGGTGGCCTGGGAGGGCAGCCTCCCCGAGCTCCAGGAGCCTCTGGCCACTGCTGCGAGGAGCCTGGGCGCCTGTTGGGGCATGGTGTTCGCCAATCCCCTGAGGCCCAGACCCCAGGCAGGCTGGCCGGCAGGGGGTACGCTGGAGGGAGAGCTGACTTTCCGCCTCCCAGAACCTTAGCAGAGCCCAGAGGATGAGCCTGGCTCGTTACCTCAACCCCTGCGATTAGGGAGCGGGCTCTGGCCCTCGTCGCGGGCAGCGCGGCCCAGGCAGGGGAGGCAACGAGGCCACTGGGCCCGCTGCCTAGGTGCGGCAGGGCCATCTGAGGCGTGGGCCCGGGCAGTGGGTGCACCTCCCGGCTGCTGGAGGGGGGCCTATGACCGGAGGGAGGGAGGGGGCTGTCCCACGGTGGGGAGGCGTCAGCAGGCTGGGAGGGGCTCTGCGGTCCACCATCCGTGGGGAGCGCGGTGGTGATGCTCGTGCTGACAGGAGCGCGTTCAGACTAAGCGCAACTGGGAGGCCCGGCGGGGCTGAGCAGGACCGACCGGCCCCTGTTCGTGGCCTTTCTTCGCTGTCCAGCGTCGAGTCTGCAGCTCTGTTGGACCCCCTGTCCCGGGTAGCACGTGGCTCTGGTGGGTCTGCAGCGCCTCCGACCTCATCTTCCCCGCCGGGGCTTCGGTGAACCGAGCTCCGGAGCCGCGGAGACAGCCGAGGGCACTCGGGGCGGGCGCGGTGGGGGGACTGGCAGGAAAGGCACTTTAAAGTGGACTGCAGCGGGCATACGGGGTGCCCTGCCCTCGTCCCTTCCTCCCGCGCGGGGACGTCCACGTGGGGTAGCTGGAGGCGCGCAGCCGTCCGAGAGCGTGAGGACGCCCCGGGACGGGGAGCTCGGCGCTGGGCTCCGCTGACACGCCGGCTTGGACGGCTTGCGTCCCGCGTCTTTCCCCGTGAGACAATAAACCCTGCCTTGCTGACGCCGCTGCTCTTTGGGCTTCTGCGGGCGCGGCCGACCGGCCTGTAGATGGCCCTCGCCCCAGGGGCCTCGCGTGCTCCGCGGCCGGACGTCAGCTGTGGCCTCTGCTGTCACGCAGAGCTGGCGGGCATGTTCACATTCCTGCCCCGAGCCCAGCCTCGGCTGCCGGCCCCTGGCCCCACAGAGCTCACAAGCAGGCTCCTGCCCTTGTCAGCCCTGGGCCGCTGCTCTGGGGCTCCCCGCGCCACGGTGTGGTCTGCTCAGGGACCCGCTGCCCACGGGCGGCCCCTTGTGCTCGCGCAGCCCGCGGCCCTCTGGGGTGAGGGAGAGGCAGGGCCGCACGGAGGTAGCAAGGCTGCGCCCGGCACCCTCCCCCTGTGTGGGAGCGGCGTCCCAGCCCCCATCAGGAGGCTGGACAAGGGTCCTCTCACCTCTGGGGCCAGAGCATCTCCTCCCGCCCCCCGGGGTCCCCACTCCTGCCTGCCTCCGCTGGGCGCGCCACGTGGCTGCTACCTGGTCAGGGGCTGGGCATGCAGCCAGGCCCGCCCCTCCAGGGGAGAGCAGGAGGCTGAGTTTTGTCCTCTCCTCTGTGCCACCCCACCCCTGCCCCGAGCGGGGTCCAGCCCTGGGCCTCAGGGCGGGGATGCCCTCTGGAGCCAGGCCGCTGCAGGGTAGGAGCCTGCCTACCCACACGGTAGGCAGCCGAGGAGAAGCGTGGAGGCCAGGCCCTGGGCAGCCCGCCTGCCCACCAGCACCTGCCCGCTAGGGCTTCTGGGAGTTCTCAGCCCTCCTGGCCTGCTGGTCCCGATGAGCACATAACATAAGCTGGCTCTGCTGGGCCCAGCTTCCAGGCCTGGCTGCTGGGCTCTGAGGGCTGGGCTGGGACTGCTGGGCTCCGTGTCCCCCCCTTCACCCCACGGACACCTCCAGACATGCCAGGTGGAGACAGGCGGGCAGCTGAGGCAGAGAATGGGAGACGGCCGCCCTGCTGTTTCGGCTCTGCTGTGTTCCCGTGAGGCCTGAGTAGGAAGCCCCCTGGGGTGGGGGCCAGACGTGGGGCCCACATAGCTCGCTCAGTGTTCTAATTCCAGGGGTGGGCCACGGCCGTGAGCAAATCAGCCGAGCCGGCAGAAGCGTGGAATCAGAGGGGGCTTCCGGGGGAGGGGGCACGTACCATGCTTTCCCAGACAGGGCAGACAGAACTGAGCTGAGGCTGCCTGGGGGAGGAAGCTTGAGCGAAGGCCGGGAGGTCAGAGTCCCTGCTGGCTGGTGGGGGTGGGTCCTGCATCTCTCCTGCTGCCCCAATCCCTCCCATGCCCCCTGACCCTCGCCATTACACGCTGGGCCAGCTTTCCGGTGGGACCCACTTCAAGGAAGCCAGATCCTGCCCTGGCCACAGCGTGTGCTGGTGACACCAAGTGCAGGTCAGCTGAGCCTGGGGTCCTGCCTCTGCCCCCAGCCTCCTGCAGGGGCTGCGAGCCGGCGTGCTGGGCCCTATCGTGGCTCCAAGCTGCTGCTCCCGCCTCATCCGCCTGGGCTCAGTCCTGGGGTGGCCTCTGTGCCTCTCCCTCCTGCCAAGGGAGCCCAGGGCGTGTTGCCCGCCCTCCGGGCCCTGGCTGGTTGTTCCTGGCTTGGTCAGCTCCTTCCCTGAATGTCTGCGTTTGGAGAAGGAGGAAGGTAGAGGCTGGGATGGAACTGGGCGTCTGCTGGGACCCCAGTTCTTTCCTCATCTCCACAAAGGCTGAACGGCAGCAGCGTGGTGGCTTCTTGGCAAAGGCTTTTCTGGGCACTCTCACCATTGGTGAGGCCTGGCCCAAGGGCCTCCCAGCCCCCACCCCTCCAATGCCAGTGTTCCGGGCCAGGGACACCCTCTCCAGGCGCCACACGGCTGCCCACACTTGCATGCCTGCGACACCAGGGGGCACTGTTGCCATGCGCTTCGCGTGCTGCCTCTGGGAGGCCTCCCTGATTGCTCCTCCTCCCTCCATGGTCCCTGTGCCCGCTGGCCCTCTGGTCTGCTGTGCGAGCCACACGCCCCAGGTCTCCCCTGGCTGGCCAGAACGCCCCACGGGCCGTGTCCACGTCTGCTGAGGAGGTAGAAGCCTATAACACAGGCAGGTCAGGACCCCGGCCTGTGTGGGTCTCGCCCCAGCCGGCCTGCCACCCCCACGTGGGGGCAGGGCAGGGCAGCAGCTGTGTCCAAGCTGAGAATGCTGGACTCAGGCCTGGCCCGGCCGCCTCCCCGAGCTCGGCCCTCTGAGGTGGAAGAGCTCGGTCAACACCCTCTGCTGACGCTGCGACACCCAGCAGAGCCCCTGCCTGCCCTGGCGCGGGCAGCACCGCCCCCCGCCGCCTCTCCAGCGACGCCCTTCCAGATACACCGTGGCCCAGGCCCGCGGTATTAATAACACTCGCCCGGGCTGCCGCGGTGGGAGCCCCGGCCCGCGCCCGGCTCTGGACAGCCCGCCCCAGCTCGGGATCAAGGTGTCCCTTCCCTCCTCGCCCTCCCCCGGGGCCCAGCCCCTCAGGGCGCCGTCCGCCCCACCCGGAGCCCGAGGCGGGGCAGTGGCACATGTGCAGGCGTCCGCCTCACTTCCGCACGCAGGTGCCAACCTGATGGCGTGAGACGCGCCGAGAGCGGGGCAGCCACCCTGGACACCCGCTCCCGGAGGACGCCCGCTCCGTGCACCTCCTCTGGGGAGCTGAAAAACAGAAGGGCAGGCAGAGGAAGCGGGGCCCCCCACCCACTGACCGTCCTGCCGCGAGAAACACCCCTCACCCGGGCCGTGGACGACCTGCCAGCCCTCGTGGGTGGGGCTGCCGCGCCCCCGTTCAGGCTCTAGGGCCAGGCTGAAGCGGGGCACCTGCCGCCAGGGCCCCGGCCTGGCCAGGCTGACCCAAAGGAGCAGAAAGCAAGCAAGACGGGGTGCGCTGGGTGCTGGGACCAGAGGAGAGACGCCGTCCTGTGTCGGGGCCCCGCCAGGGAAGGCGCTGCCCTCGGGATGGCCCTGTCAGGCCGGAGCCCTGAGACTGGCCCGTCCCCCCGCCCGACCCCGCAGGGGCCCTGCAGGCCGGCAGAGCCGAGCCGGTTCCCCAGGGGAGCGGCCGTGCCCAGCACCGCCTCGGGAGCAGACCCAAGGCCACCCCTCCGGGGGACAGGTGTGTGTTGGGGGCACTTCTGAAATCGCCCTTTTTAATCATTCAGCCTCACGAGAGAGAAGGCGGGGCCCAGACGCCACTGTCTGCCCCGGGCGGGTCCCACCCCGCCTGTGCCCTCCTGAACCCGCTGAGGGGAGCCTCTGGGCGTTGGGCCCACGGCCTGGCCTGGGGCGGGCAGGCGCTGGGGGTGCCGGTCAGCTCTCGCGGTCAGCTCTGCCTCCCGGGGCTCAGGACGGCGGGGCCGACCCCGGCCTCCGGTGCTGGGTTCTTACCGCTGAAAAGTACCCCGTCGCGCAGACCCCCCCGGGCGCCTCCGGGCCAGCTTCGGCCGCCTCAGAGGAAATGCCGCGAGCTTCCACGCGCCGCCGTTTCTGACTCCCTTTTATTTGGCAGAATCCTCCCCCCGGCACCGCGCCCGTCCCCGGGGACTATGTACATTCACATTCTCGGACACGGCCCCCGCCTCGGGCGCCCGGCGCCTGCTTCCGTGGCTGGCCGGGCGCCTCACAGCACGCAGGGTGCCCGCTGCGCCGTCCCCCGACGAGGACCCGGGCGGCTCCTCGTTCCTGCACCTCCTCCTCGGACGGCCGGGGCTCGGGGCAGGCGAGGGCGTGGGGGTGTCCCCGGGTCGCCCCGCAGCGCAGCTGGGCAGCGGCGCAGGTGCTGTGCACAGCCACTGAGTCTTGGGGGACGGTGCTGGGTTTTTTCTGCAAAAGTGTGAGGACGCGGAGGCCGTGGCGGGCCGGCGGCCGGGAGAAGAGGTAGCGGAGGGCAGCCGCGGAGGGCCGGCCGGGCTTGCCTCCGGCCCTGAGAGCTGTCGAGCCCCGGCGTAGGATCGCCGCCGTGCGGCTCTCGGAAGGACCCGGCGCGGGGTTCCGTCGGCAGAAAAGCAAGACGTGACAGAGCCCGCGCGGCGGGGACGGGCCGCTGGAGCCGCGGAGGAAGAAGCCGCGGCCTGTCGGGGGCGAGACCCCACCAGCCCGTCGCCCAACCCCCCAAAAAGGATCAGGCAAGAGAAGGGGCGGACGAGGGCGCGTGGCGGGGCTTGGGGGCGCGGGGCGGCGCCCTGGGCCGCAGTCGCGGGGCTCCCGTCACCTCGCGGCGCGGCTGCTTGGATTTGTGCTCGGAGCCCGCGGCCGACGCTGGAGGAGAGAAACCTGAAGCCACAGCTGCGTCGAGTGGGGCACGTCCTCTGCCGCCTCCCGCGCCAGGGCGGCGGCCCCCGCGGCGCAGCTCGGGTCTCCGGCGGGAGCGGGTTTTCTTTTCCCCTTTAATCCGCAGCGGGGCCCGGAGGCGTCTGCGTGCGCTTCTGAGCGGCTGTCCCCGCCCTGCCCTCCCTCCGTCCTTCGGGGAACGGCAGCCGCCAGCGCCGGGCAGCGGGGCTCTTCGCTGGAGGGAAGGCGCCGGCGGGGCCGCCGGGACGAAGGGGCGTGAGGCCGGGCCGGGGCCCCCGCGGCTCGCGGTGGCTGAGGACGTGGCGTTGGAGGCGGTTCTGTGTTTTCTTTTGGAGAGAAGCGGTAGCAGCAGACGCCGCGGCCGGGGCCGGGCCGGGCGGGGCGGGCAGCGGGGGCGGTGGCGGGGGCCGGGCAGCAGGGTCTGGGCGGGTCAGCGGGGGGCGGCGTCCGGCGGGCCCGGGGAGCCGGGGCGAGAGGGCCCCGCGGAGCCGGCCTCGCAGGGGCTGGCGGCGCCCACGGGCAGGCAGGGGGCGGCGGGCGGGCCGGGCGCGGCGGCCGCGGGGCCCTGCAGGCTCTGGCCGCACACGTGGTGGTGCTTCTCCCAGTCCTTGTGCTGGCAGAAGGAGCCGCAGTAGCGCGCCGCGTTGCAGCCGCTGCAGGTCTCGCTGGCCTTGCGCCCGCAGTTCCAGCAGCTCTGGTCGCGAGAGCGGGCGGTCAGGGCAGGCCCGGAGCAGCAGCCCGCCTGCCGAGCGGGCACGCTCCCCGAGCCGCGCGCACCCAGCCCGCCGGGCGTCACGCGAGGAGAGGAGCGTGGCAGGTGGGCCGCGCCCATGGGCGTCTGGCCGTCGCAGTGCCAGGCGGGCACGGGGGCAGGCTGCTGCTGCGTCGCACGACCCCGCCGGTTCCAGTTGGGTCCCCTCGCTCGCAGGGCCGCAGGTCTCCACCAGGAGGGCCCACAGCCCCTTCCCTCTCCTCCAGGAAGCCCTCCCGGCCTCCCCGGAGCTCCCGTACCGGAATTTGGAGCCGGGGAGAATAAAGGCGGCCAGGCTGCGCGGTGGGGTGGGGGCCAGGCACGGGCCTGTGCGGGGGTGGGGGCAGCCCTACCTCACTGGAGTCCTCCTGCTGGTTCACGACCGTCAGCGCGTCCTCGGAGGCCTGCCGGCGCGCCTCGGCCAGGGCCCGCTGCATCTTGGCGCGCTCGGTGCTGATGAGCTCGTGGGCCTTGCGCTCCGCGTCCGACACCGCCTTCTGCAGCTCCGACATGGCCTGCCGCTTCACCTCGTTCACCGCCTCCTCTGCGGGGGGGCGGCCCCGTCACGAGAGAGCCGGGAGCCCTGGCCGCCGCCCCGCGCCCTGTGAGACCCAGGGCCACAGTGCTCGCCCCACGCAGAGGGGCTCAGACCAGCAGGCAGAGGCAGCTGGAGGCGGAGCTGGAGGCAGGAAGGGGGTCTGGCCACCCCTGTGCTGATGAGGCTGGGCAGGGCCCAGGAATCTGCATCCCAGCACCTTCCAGGTGCTGCTGCTGCTGCTGCTGCTGCGGGTCCCGGGCCCCATGCTGACAGCAGCTGCGCTTCCCCCAGGGGCAGCCTGCCTCCTCCAACCCCTCGGACGCAGCACTGAGCCCACTGCTCTCCCCACACACCACCTTCGGCCTGTTAGGCTCTGGCTAGTGGCCACCCGGTGTTGGCCAGCGACAGCCCTGCCCCGCACAGGTTGCTCCAAGGCACCCCAAGCCCGCAGGCCTGTAAGGCCCAAGATTTTGCCACAAGTCGGGCACAGCTGAGCCCCTGCCCCCCATATGCGGGGCAGTGGGGAGTGTGGCCTGCCCACCCCTGGCTCCCTCTTGGGGTCCCCACTCACCAGCCTTCCTCCAGATCTCCTCGGGCATGTAGCCTGCGAGGGTCCTGGGCAGGAGCTCCCGGGGGGCATCTAGAACATAGGGGCTGCGTCACGCACGGGCCGGCTGCTGGCCCCGGGGCCCCCCTGGTTGAAGCCCTGCAGCAGCTGCTGGGTGGGCAGGTGCTGTCGGGAAAGGGACTCGGGTGCTGACGGGCCTTGAATTGGGGTGGGAGCCGGGCCCTCCCGGCCTCTCGGTGTCCACGAGCGTGGCGAGAGCCAACGGGCCTTCCCAGCCCTGTTGCTTGGCGTGTGATGGGTGCTGGCCGTGGCGCCCCTCCACGCACACACGACACTAGGTCAGGCCTCCTGCCACCCCGTGCATCCCAGCTCTCTGCACACACGCCCCATGCACCCCAGCGCTCTGCATGTCCACCCTGCCCCATGTACCCCAGCTCTCTGCACGCCCACCCCACCCACCCCAGCTCTTGGCACGCACACCCCGTGCACCCAGCTTTTGGCACGCCAGCCCCGCCCTGCGCACCTAGCTGAGCCCCCTCTGCACCCATGGAGCTGCCGAGGGGCCGGATGCCAGGCACCGGGCCCTTCTTGGGGTCCTCGGAGTCGCTGCAGCGCCGGCTCCAGTGGTTGAGGGCCTCACGGTCGGCCTCCTGGCAGCGCCGCAGCACAGTGAGTGAACGCCGCGTCTTCTCCGCCATGTCCATGATGCAGTTCAGGAGCTGCGGGCGGGGTCTGAGCTTGGGCACGGCCCACCGGGCGGGGGTGGGGGGGCGGGGAGGGCTGGAGCAGGGGTCACTTTCAGCCCAGACCCCCAGCCTGGGCACCAGGCTCGCCGGCAAGTGTGCTGGAACTCAGGGCCTCGGGCTCTGCCCCCACGCTCCAGGATCAGGCCTGCCGCGGGGGCGCCGGTCACTCCTGTGTGCCCCCGGCCCAAGGCAGCGTGCGGCGGCTGATCCTGAAGATGGTGCGAGTGGCCCCCACATCCCGCGTTACTCTGGGGAAACTCCAGGCAGAGGAGGGGCCTTCTGAGGAGCTGACCAGAGGGGTGGTCACTCTGCCCCCACCCTCAGGTGGCCCTGGGACGTGCAGCCCCTCAGCCGGGCCTGGACACTCACGTTGTTGAGGTGCTTCCACTCCTCGGCCCACTCGCGCTCCGTGAGCCTGTGGTCAATCACCTCCTCCGGCCTGGACCCGTGTACCACTGCGGGAGGGGTGGACGCTGAGGCCCCTGCTGAGCCCAGGCCGCCTGCCCACCTGCCCAGCCCCAGGCCAGCCTGTGTCCCCGGCCCAGGGAGCCGCGCTGGCGTGTGAACCTGCCCACGTGTGCCCTCCTGGCTGTACCGCCAGGCCCACTGGGACAGCGGGTCAGGCAAGCTGCTGCCCACACTCATTCCCAAGGGAGCCCTGGGCCCCGACTGGCCCCTCTCTCTGCCTCAGTCTCCCTCTCCGGACCCCACAGGAGGAGACGGGGCCCGAGAGCTGCCCGGGGTCTGTGAGGCCCCCCCCCCCCGCCCTGTGTTAGCCCCAGGGTCTGCTTTACAGAAGAGGACACTGGGCTGGCGCGGGACTGTGCTGGCCCAAGGGCGGTGGGGTCGGTCAGAACCGGCTTTGGCTGGCTTGGCCAGACCGGACGGTGGGGCTCTGCACCCCAGAAACCAGCATGCCCGAGGCTCTGTCCTCGCCCTGCTCCCTGTGCTGGGTGCCCTCCGAGACGCTGCCCGGGCCTGTACTGGGTGCCCAGGTTGGTGGACACCTCCTGGGGCTGGGCACTGTCCGCTTAGGCCCTCAGCATCCTGGCCTCCCAAACCCGCCTGCCCCCGAAACCGTAGAGGACTACTTGGCCGACGAGGTGCCCACCGCCCTGCCCTGTGCCAAAGCCCCAACCAAAATAGAGGCTGAGACGTGCCGGCAGCTGGCGTTTATTTTTGCAGTCGCTGGACGGGCGGGAGTTAGCACCTGCCTGACCCCGGCTGCCACCCGCAGACGTGTCACCTGCTGCCCGGCCCCGGGAGCCTCTGCAGGGCTGAGGCGGCGCTGGCCCTGCCCAGGAGGCCTGTGTCCCTGCACCAGGATGGTTGAGGTGCCCTGGGTGGGCCCTGTGCCCCCACACCAGGGCCGCTGGCCCCTACCCGCAGGCGGGGGGGGCGGCAGCAGCTGTGTTGGCTGCTCCCCACGGCGTGTGCCCGCTCCTGGGAGCCAGCCCACCAAGCACATGGGCAGGAGGTCGTGTGACCACCCAAGGGTGCACCGTGGGGTGCAGGGCTTGAGGCCAGGCATCCACATGTGCTCACCCTGCCCATAAGCAGGTCTCCGGCCTGGACACTGCCCCTCTGCGCGGCTGAAGCTGTTTTGGGCCCTGCTGGGAGATGAAGTCCCCCCAGAGGCCTCTAACCCGAGGGCTGTGTGCCGGGCAGGCGGCCAGTGCCCCTCAGGCTCAACGTCCCGCAGACTCGGGCCTGCCCCACCAGCGGGGGGTCCCAGGATGGACACCTGCAGCCATGGCCCCCCACCTGGGGAGAACGGGCCCTAAGGGAGGGTACCCAGGCCAAGAAGATGCTCTCCTGCAGAGGCGTCCGGGGGGGCACAGCTCAGCCCGGCCCTGGGCGGGACCCCCACTCTAGTTCCCAGTCCACACCGCTTCCTCAGCAGCCTCCCGGACAGGCTGAGGCGTTCTGCTGTGTCCCGGGTACCTGCTGTGCCCGTGGGCTCCCACCGACCCAGTCTGGCCCTGCTCATCCAGCTCCTGGGGGCTCCCGCTGGCCCACCTGGCCCACTGGCCTGCCCAGGCTGACCCGCCCCAGCCCCTGACACCCAGCTAGGCTGACCCACCGGGCCCCTCACACCGCCGGCCCCTCACCCAGCTGCCGAGGGCGGTCCCGCAGCTCCCGGGGGTCGGCGTGGCGGTAGGCGTCCCGCAGGTGGTGGGCGGTGGCCATATCCTCCAGCCGGAAGTGCGGGGGTGGCGTGGGGTGTGGGGGCCCGTGGGTGGGGCTGTAGCGCTGGGCGGGGCTCAGGGTGCAGGGACGCTTGCTGAGGTGGTCGGGATGCAGCGGGTCCCGGTCCGACCCGTTCTCTTTGGTCCTGGAGTGGGTGGGGCACAGATATGGGCCACGGGCCTGGCGGAGCCCCGGCAGGTGCCAGGCTGCGGCGTGGGCAGAGGGGGCGTGGCGGAGCCCGGCAGCGGGAGCAGCTCCTCCCTGCGTCCTCTGGGGCTGTCCGGGGGCCCTGGCCCTGGCCCTCCCGGAGCCCAGGGTGCGCGAAGCCTGGCCTGCTGTCAGGGGAAGGGGAGGGGGACCCCAGCTGCCATAGCCAGACGCAGTCACCCCGACAGCGGTGGCCTCCTGGGGGGGTGTGCAGGCCTCGGCCCCCCGGTGCTCAGGGCCATCCCCAGCACGGATGGAAGAGCCGGGCAGACCCTCCTGCCTCTTCCCCGGCACGCGTCCTCGGCCTGACCGGAGGCCTCCTGGGATGGCTGCGCCTGCCCAGCCCGCTCCCAGCGGACGCCCCGCCTCAGCCCGGCCGCCGCTCCCTGCTGGCCCCAGCGCCCGCCCAGCACACCCGCACCTGTCTGGCGACCTCCTCTTGCCGTTCTCGCGGGCGTCCAGCAGGAGCTCGGAGGAGTCGACCGGGGAGGAGGCGCTGGCATCCAGCAGCAGCTGCTCGTGCTGGGCCAGGTACTGGGCGGGCGTCTGCTTGGCCAGGCGGGCGCAGTGCAGGAGCTCTCGCTGCAGCAGCGGCAGGTTTGCCTGTGGGCAGGAGGGGCAGGTCTCTGGCTGTGTGACTCGGGGAGCTGCGCCCTCTGGTCCCCGGGACGGGCACTTCCTGGTGATGCCCGGGGCAAGCGGGAGCCTCGGGGGACCCTGTCCCCCAGCGTGCACAGCAATTTGGGGTGCAGGGGGGGCCCAGATTCTGGGTCAGATTCTGAGTCACCTGGCTCCCTCCCCCCGGGGCGTCGAGGCAGGAGAGGCCTGCAGAGAAGACCTTGCTGGTGCCCGGTGCCACGCGTGACTGTGTGGAGGGGGAAACTGAGGCTCAGAGAGGGGAGCACGGCTGCCTGCGAGCAGGGGGCTGTGTGGCTGCTCTGACCCGAGTGCACCCGGTTGAGGTCCACCGAGCCCCACTTCCTGTGGGCTCCAGCAGTCCTGGGGTGCCTTGGTCTGGAGCATGGGCACCGTGCGCCCCCCAGGGTCTCGCAGCCGCCTGCAGGGGGACATTTGACGTGGCTCCGCATTTGCGGGTGAGGACACGGCACAGCGGGTGGGGGTGGAGCGACGTCCCGTGGGGGTGCTGACGGGAAGGTGGCCCCGCCCGCCACGCCTGTGGGGCCGCAATGCCCTGGCCCTGGCGCCAGGCCCCCAAGCCCTCTGGGCTGCCGGCGGCTCCTCAGGCGCCTTCCCCGGAGTCTCCCACAGCTTCCGCGGGGGCCGGCCGGGCCCGAGGACACTGGACAGGGGCCCAGCGGCCCTAAGTATTTGTAAATAAACCCGGTCCCAACTTTCTCACGGTGCTTTCGAGCTGCCTTTGCCGCCCCGCACCCCGTCAGTGTGTCCACCCGGACCCGCCGGCAGCCCGTGCGTCCTGTCAGGCAGCGCCGGCTGCCAGGCCTGTTTTTCTGTTTGGATAGCTGAACCGGGGCCAGCCCGCCATCTGTCGAGCACGTTAGCAGCAGGAGCTGGGAAACGCGGCCCCGGGAGGCCTGTGGACGCCAGCATCCTCTCCATCCCGGCCCCGGGGCCGCCCGCTCGGCAGGGCGGGGGCAGCAGGGCACCGGCTGGTGGCTGTCAGGGCCTCACAAACATCTGGATTCCTGGCCGGCTGGGGCCAGCTGGGAACCGGCAGTGGGCGGGCGGGAGGGGCTGCCCCTGCTCCCGCTCAGCCGGTGGGGTCGGGTCAGGAGACGGAGCGGGGGCCCAGGGCCCTGCTGGGGGCAGTGAGGACCCTGGCATAGAAGAAATGGGGTGGAGACCTGGGCACAGATTCTGCCCTGTTCCCAGGGCCCCGCTGAGATGCTGGCAGCAGAGCGGTCACTGAGCCCTCCAGACCCCACCCGCGTCTGACGCTGCAGGAAGGCGGGGAGACCCTCTTCACAGCTGGGAGCTCGGCCCGCGCGTGTGAGCAGGACAGCGCGGCTCCGCGTCACAGGGCTGGAGGGCTCCCGCCTTGAGCGCTCCGTCAAAAGCCTACGTGGCCAGCCTGCCCTTGGCGTGCACTGTGGCCTCTGGTGTGCTCTGTAACTGGGCGGTGGAGGCGCCTGTGGCCCGGGGCACTCCGTGGGAATGAAGCCCCAGCCCCCTGGGAGGCTGAAGTGGGACCCGGGCTGACCCCAGGGCAGGGCTGACATTCACACAGCCTCTCTCCAGGGGAGGACAGCCCGAGGGCCACTGCCCACGCGGCCCTGGGCCACGCAGACCCTCGGAGGCTCAGGCCAGCTCCTTGCCCACCGCCCTGGACGCCGAGCTGTGTCTTTGACACCCCGCTGGCCAGGGCCACGCATGAGGCCGGGAGCCGCTGTGGGCAGAGGGAGGCCGCGCAGGGACCTCAGCGTCCTTCTGGCCCGCGCTGGGCCTGGGGGGTGCACAGTGGTTGGGCTGTGGCCGGGCAGGGGTGACCGCAGGGACCGGTCTCCGGGATGAACAGGGGTGGCGAGGCGCTGGCAGCTGCTGTAAACATCTGACCTCACAGAACAAGCATCGAGTGTCCCCTAGACGGGGCTGCGGCCAGCAGCCTGCGGGAGGGGGAGCAAGGCCCGTGGGGCAGGTGGTCGCCAGATGGGCCGCCGGCCCTGCCAGCAGCAGGAGGGTGAGGGGGGGTGTCGGGGGGCAGGGGCTACAGGGGGCCAAGTGCTGCCTGGGGCCTCGGCGCCATCTCAGTGGCAGCAGGTGGACCTCAGGGCCTCAGTTTCCCCACCGGCTAGTGGCAAGCAGCGGCAGGGCCTGCGCTGGCCTCAGGGGCTGCTGGGAGGGGCCAACTGGCCACCAGCCATGGGCAGCACACCTCTACAGCACGTCAACCTGTCTCCAGAGGACACCGCCCTGATGAGCAGGTGTGGATGCCCAGGGTAGACCCTGCGGCTGGGGCCCGGTGCACACAGCCACAGGGGGCAGCAGGTGTGGCCTGCGGGCAGCAGCTACATGACAAAGTTGGGCTCTGGCTGCAGCCTCTGGCAGGGTCTGTCCTGAAGGCCACCCCTGGGGCTGGAGAGGCCTTGTGCTGGCACCTGGGCCACAGGGCGGTGTCTCCCAAGTGGGCCGCATGGAAACCAACCCCAGAGGGGGCCCTAGAGGCACGAGGCGGCTAAAGGGCCTCCATCAAGTGCTCCTGGGCAGGGCCTTGTGCCGCCCTGTGGGCAGTGAAGACCCGAGAAGGGGCTGGGCGGGAGCACGTCCACTCCACGAGCCCTTGAGCTACCCAGCGCCTGCTCTGGGCCACGGGCTGGGTTGTGGGGCCTGCACTGCTCCCAGCCCTCCAGCCCCACAGGCTGTCCTGCCCGCGCTGGCCGTGGCCAGGGGCTCTGCCCGGCTGCCCTCCCCACCCGGCCCTCAGCAGGTCACGGCCTCATGCTGCGTTGGCCCCGGGCCCCGTCCTCTCTGCATGCGACGTGTCCCCAGCTTGGCCCAGTCTGGGAGTGCAGGGCTGGTGGAAGCAGCTGACCGGGTGGCCGGCCGAACCCGCCCAGCAGGCTCCGTAAGGGTCGGCTCTGACCGGTCAGCGCTGCTCCGGGACAGGAGCTGGAGCACGGTGGGAGGAGCGAGGCTGGCCATGCAGCCAGGCATGGGGGCTGGGCCTTACCTTCAAGAAGGGGATGACAAAGGGCCGCAGCGGGAAGTTGGTGGCCTCCTGCAGCTTGGAGTGGAACTCCTCGATGGTCAGTGTGGAGTTCTGGGGAGAGGGGCGGGGTGAGCCATTGCTGCTGCTGCCGCCCGCCCAGCCCGGTGTGGGGGGCACTCACCACGAGCCCCAGCACCAGCGCGCGCACACGCTCTCCGATCTCGGGGGAGATGTCGCCGCCGAACTGCTGCAGGGTGCTGAGGAAGCGCTTGAGCTTGCTGAGCTGCCGTGCCCCGCAGGCCGGGGGCAGGTGCTGCGTGGACAGCGAGGCTGTGGATGAGGCGGCCGGGCCATTGCTAAAGCCGCTGGGCGTGGACGGGGCACCGCTGACGGCTGTGGGCGAGTGGCTGCTGCCGTTCATCACTGTGGAGGGTAAAGGGCGCATGAGGGCGGAGGGCAGAGGGCGCGTGAGGGTGGCAGAGGAAGCCCTGGGTGCCCTGGCAAATGCCCCTGTGGCTCCCACAGACCCCAGTGGTAAGGGGAGCTGAGTGTGGCTGTGACCTGGGCCTGGCACCCACCCGGCACTGCCCCTTCCTCCCGGCCGCGCAGTCCGGCCTCCAGACCTAGCAGGGACGCCTGCCTCCCAGCCAGGACAGCCACAGGCAGGGTCCACCCTCAGGGTCCACTAGCCCACTGCCCTTCTCTGGGGTGAGGCCGCAAGCCCCCGAAGTCTGGGAATCCACCATCCAGCATGCCACCCCCAGCTCTGCTGCCCGCAGGGGCCCAGGGCCAGCTGCTGGAGCTGGGCAGGCTAAGGGCTGGTGCCCAGGACACGTGGGGCTGGACCCTGGCGGCAGCTCGGGTCACTGCAGCATTGCCGTGCATGGGGTCCGCACAGTGGTGTCGGGGCCTGCGGGACACGAGCCGGGCCCAGGCCAGCACCAGCAGGCACCCAGGCCAGCCTCCGGGGCAGCGCCTCAGCCTGCAGCCTGGCCAGCCCCTCGCACCAGTGCCCTGCCTGAGCAGCCTGGCCACAGCCGCCCAAAGACGACAGTGGAGGGGGCTCTGGGAGGGGGATGGAAGCCCACATGCACGCACACACACGTGCACCCACATGAACACACGCAGCACACGTGTGCACACACGCACGCCGCGCCCACTCAGCCCCGGCAGCAAGGGCCCTGCCTGGCCCTGGGCCGCGGGGCCTGTGCCTTCCGGCCCTGGTGGGGTGAGCCCCGTACAGATGCCCCACCAGCGGCGCCTTCTGGGAGCAGCTCCCACTGACCTTCCTGCCAGAGCCCCAGAGCCCTCCTGCTTGCTCAGGCCCCGTGGCCAAGGGCCGGGCCCTGGGCAGCCAGGCGCCCACACCCACAGCTGCCCACCACAGGTGCGGGACCGTGGCTGAGTGCCGGTGCCGTGGGGCCAGTCCGGGACTGGCTGGACCTGCCCAGGGGCCTCCATCCGCCTCTGCAGAGGTGCGTGGGCACGTGTGGGGCACACCGCCTTGGACAGACCCAGCCCGCCGGCGGGCAGGGACAGCGCGGGCTGGGCATGACCATCAGGCCTGGCCTCTGTATCTCGTCTGCAAACAGCCCTGACCTGGACCAGAGTGGGTGCTGGGGGCCGGGGACAGGTGCTGGTGCCCTCTGCCTGTGCCCGCCCGCAGAACCAGCTTACCCCTGCCACTCAGGGCCGGGCAGCCTCAAGCTGGGAGCCGGGGGAGCAGGGCCAGGGCTGCCACCTGATGCAGGCAGGCGGGGTGCCCCTCCCTCGGGAAGGGATGGCCGCGGGGAGCAGACCCCCCCCTCGCTCTACAGAGTAGCTGGCGACGTCCGCTGGGAGCACTGAGAGCCGCTCCTCCGCCCCAGGGGCACCGCGGGCTGGCTGGCCGCAGCAGGCTGCCCCACCCGCCCGCCCTGCTCAGGAATGGAGCATGGAGCTAGGAGGGGCACGCGCCGTCCCCACCGCTCCCTGGGCAGCGTCCACTCTCCACTCAGCGCCGGCCACTGTGAACACGGCTGCCCCCAGGGACGCCGACACTTGCCTGGCGGTCAAGGCCCACGACAGTCTCCGGCTGTCACTGCGGAGACTGTCACCGCGGAGACACCCGGGGCCGCGAGGCCTCGCCGCTGGCTCCCTGCACTGTTGCTGGGTGGGCTGCCCCGGGGGGCCCGGGCTTCCCCAGCTCCCCACACTGGCCGCTGTCCACCCTCCACCACCCTGGTCGGGGCGGGCTGCCTCCCGCCGCTCCTTACCAGCCTGGCCCTGGAGCCTGGGTCCTGCCGGAGGCCTGCTGGCCCACGTTCCCTCCCGCGGCTGCCGGGCAGTCTCAGCAGCTTGCTAAAGAGACGCCGAAAATAACCCCAGGCCACAAGTGCCTTCATTCCCACAACAGGTGTGTTACTAAGTTAGACCGCACACGTGTCCCCAGCTGAGGTTTGGGGGCACACACTAGCACCCCTGCAGCTCCCCAGGCCTGTGGCCGGGGCGGGGGCGGGCTGGGACGAGGACCCTTCCGCCAGCCCCTGCTGGCCGGGAGCCCAGGGTCCTTGTGGGCAGCACTGCTGTCCAGGGACGTGGGGACGGGCGTGAACGAGGCATGTGTGTCTCTCCAGCATCTCTGTGGTCTGTCCCCGGTGCCGGCTGCACACCTGGGCTGACCGGCCTGTCCAGACCAGTGCTCTGGACGTGGCCCCCCACTGGAGCCTTCGGCTCTGCACACCCGCTAGGCCCCCGCACTGGACAGACAGGCCTCCTGGCGGCCAGCGCCTGAGCCCTGGTGTTCACAGGTGAGGCACAGGCACCGGCCAGGTGACTTGGGGCTGTGGAGGTCGGAGAGGCCACCCCGGCCGCCAGCCCCTCCGCTCTCGGGGTGCCGCCGTGGGCGCCTCGCAAGGCCTCCCAGGGAGAGGGCCAGGCGGGGCACAGGGAGGCCGTTTGGAGCCGCGGTTTTTGTTATTTTACTTACAGAGACAGACCATAGACCATTTTAAGCAGCCATGAAAACGGCCGGGCGGCAGAGACATCACAGGCCCGTCCTCTCGATCTGTGAGCAAAATAAGAAAAACGCGGTCAGGACGGCCTGCGGGGGCTCCTTCCTGCGCATGGCGCCCCCAGCCAGTCCCTGCCCTCTGCCTCCTGGGGCAGCTCTGGGGTTGGGACCCCCACGGGCCACCACCATGGGCCTCTGCAAAGGAATGCGGTTGGGCGGGGGGCCCTTCCAGGGTCACCTCTGGCGGGACCTCCTGGGGGTCTGCGAGAGTCCTGGAGTGGCCATCGGCCAGGCAGGAGACCTGGGTGCAGCCTGGTGACCCTACTGGGCCAGAGCCGCTCCCGGCTGGTGTCTCCACGGACAGACGGTGGGTGGGGTGGCTGGCGGCGGAGCCGTGGCTGGCAGAGCCCATCTGTCTGAGCTGATGTGTGCGGCGGCGCAGCGGGAGGAGCCCCAGGCAGTGCAGGGAGTGAGCCCCCCGTCACCAGGGTCAGCCAAGGGCAGGGCCTTCCCGGCTGCAGAGAAGCTGGCGCGAGACCTGCTCTTGGCTTCTGCATGCTCTCACACTCCCGCCCCCCCCCGTGCCACCCCGCAGCCCAGCGCCAACGTGCGCGTGTCCGGCAGCTGCGGGCAAGGAGGCCACAGCTCGGGCTGTGGTCAAGGTCAGCCTCTGGGCAGCTGGGCACGCTGGTGGCCTGGGCAGCGCTGAGCGTGGCGGCTGTGTCTGTGCCGGCTGCCACAAGCCAGGCACACCCCACGGCTAACCACGGGCTTCTGGGGGCTCCTGGGGTTAGGAGCGAAGCCGAGGCCACCCTGAGCCCTGGGGGACACTCTGCAGGGGACACGTGACAGTGCCCACTCTGGGCAACAGTGCTGCTGGTCTCCCCATGCGCACGGAGAGAGGCCCTCGGTGCCAGGAGCGCCAGCGCAGAATGGAGGGGCCCGGGGGTGCAGGGGAACCCCACGCCACACCACAGTCCAGCAGCAGCCCCAGGCTGCTGGACCCAGAGGGCCAGCATGTCCGCTGACCCGTCCCCGGCCAGGACATCGGGCTCCCACTCCAGGGCACTCGGGAACGCGGCCCCACTGGGAAGGGACCCCGGCAGGCAGACACACGCTTGTGCTGGGGCTGCTTCTTGGGACCCACACTCAGGGGCTGCAGTTTAGGGGTGCCCACACGCTTCTGCGCACAAGCGGTTCCACCGTGATCTCCTTCCCCCACTGAGCCAACCAGTGCCCCCTCACCACCGCTGAGGTCAGGTCGGGCCCGCACGGGCCTCGTGGCAGCCTCAGCCGCCCGCCACGGGAAGGCGGCTCCTCTGGGCCAGCCCAGCGTGGCCGCTGCAGCGGGTGGGGCCTGAGGGCTGCTGGGTGCCGGCTGCCGTGCCCTGTGGGGGTGGGCCCGCAGGGAGGGTGATCGGCGGCCAGGAGGGCCCCGCTTTCGGACATCAACCATTGACCATGTCCACCAAACGCAGGCAGAAAGTGGACCAGAGACCGGCTCAAGCCAGCCCCACACGTGGGGCCTGCCTGGGCCCCGGCCGAGCGCTGAGAAGCGGCTGCCCCGTCCCAGGGGTGGGCCCAGCACCCTGCCCCCCGGGGGGACGGGCCAGCCCTACGGTGGCCCAGGAGGCAGGGCCGAGGGTGGTGGTGGATGCAACGGGACAGAGGAAGTAGCTGGGATGGGTGGGAACCGGGGTCCACGAGGCTAAGGAATGTGGGGTCTCCAGAGAGGGGGTGACACGGGGGAGGGGCCTCTGGCCTCTGGCCCTGGATGTGGGGGCCATGGACACTCCCACCCTGTCGCCGCAGAGCCCCGGCAGGCCCGGGTCTGGGGGCAGCGGACACCGACCCGCACGTGGCCCGAGCCCGGTCGCCCCCTCGCAGTGGCTCAGGCCCCAGAGTCACAGGCCCCGGCATCTGCCCAAAGGACGGGGCTGCGGGGTGGTAGGGTTATCCCTAACGCTAGCCCTAACCCTCACGGGCCACGCAGCCACCCCCCGAAGCGGCCCCGCTCCCGAAGCTCTGGCTGTGGCACGGCGAGCTTCCCGCCCGCCCCGGGCCCAGCGGGCACCCACGGGGGCAGCCCGGCAGCCCCAGCGCCCCAGCCCGCCCGGTACTCACTGGCGTGGGGCGTGAGGGGGGCTGGCGCGCGGGCCCCTGGGAGGCGGCAGGCGGCGGCATGCTGGGGGGTGTGGCCCGGGGCTGCGTCTTCACCTCGGCGGGCGAGTCCGGCATCGCTGTGGCCTTCTCCTTGTCAGCTGTGGGCGCTGGGTGGGGAAGAGAGAGGCGGTGAGGCAGGCTGTGGCACAGAGGGGCGTTGCCTGTGGGCAGCCCTGGGGCCAGGGTCGGCCCCCGGGCAGTGGTGCGCACCCTCCATCAGCCCCTCCCGAGGCAGCCCCCATCTGACCCAGCAGGTCGGTGGCCCGAGAACCTGCGTTTCTAATAGACCCGGTGAGCCTGCTGCCACCGCCGGGCCCCTTGTTCTCGCTGGCAAGCGGCTCATCTGGGGCGTCCTGGGAGAAACCGGGGGTGGGCCACCTGGGTCAGCTGGGCCTGATGTGATCACCTCCTGGACTGCCCAGGCCGCGGACGTGGCCGAGCTCGCCTGGGCCAGGCTGGGCCACTCAAAGCTCTGGCTGTGGCCAGGCCAGCGGGTGATGCCCCCGGACGCTGTCCAGATTCCCAAGTGGCCCGAAGGTCAGGTGCAGAGAGGGCACAGTGGGCAAGGCATGACCGTGGCTGGGGGTACCAGAGCCCCGGCCCCACAGAGCCAGGCCAGGGCAGACCCTCCCGGCCCCAGGCTGCTCCAGAACCAGCAGCTGCTCATCTTCCCTGAGGTGCAGAGGGGGAGCCCCACGCTCCCCTTCTCAGTTCAGGGTCAGCCAAGGCCCAAAGGGGGCAGCAGCTGGGATCTGGAGTGGCCAGCTGCTCGGACTCCATGGCCGGGCCTCAAGCGGCCCCGGCTCTCCCTGCCGATCCAGCGAGTCCCGCAGGCAGGCGGGCAGCTGCACACGGGCAGGCTCGGATCCGAGCCATTGCGGACACTCCTGGCCCAGCAGACCTCGGTGACCGACGCGGCCCAGGCCAGACCTGCCACCCCTTGCGCTCCAGAGCAGGCCTCCCGGGGTCCGGCCCAGAGCGGGCAGCACGGAGCCCCGTGGGCCCCCGGAGCGGGGAGGGCGGCCAGTGCCTGGCACCTGCTGCCCTCAGCTGCAGCGCTGGCTGCCCTCCCGGCTCGCCCGCCCGCAGGAGGCTCCAGCCGGCACACGTGTGCCGCAGCTGTGGGCGCCCGTCAGCGCGGCTCTGGGCGGCTCTGGCCAGCCCCGGCGACAACCAAAGAAGGCAAGTGTGGCTGCCGGCGGGGGTGCGACTGTCCCGCCGCCTTCACCTGACCAGGCCACCCACGACAGGCCGCCCGCGAGGCACCTGGACGCCAGGCTGGGCACAGGGCACAGGCCTGCAGAGGCCCTCCTTGCCAGCCAGCTGTGCTGACCACCCCGTCACCCTGACCACGGCCTGTTTAGTAACTGCTGGCCGTCGGCAGAGCGGACATGGGGGACAGGGTGCCACATCGCACTGGCCCTGAGAGCCGGCTGCGGATGCTGGATGGGCCCCGGGAGTGTGGCAGCCGGCCCCCTTACAGATGGGGTGACAGGCCCCGCGTGCCAGTGACCGGCGTCCCGCGTGAGAGCCGGAATCTCAGGGCCTGTGGGCCATGAGGATGGTCAGAGCAGACCAGCGGACACGGCTCCAGGCCTCCCTGGGGCTGCTGCGCCAGGCAGCCCAGCCAGGGTCCAGTGCACGTAGGGAAGGTGGCTGGAGTCTGGAGAGGGCCTCGACCCCCGCAGGCATTGGGGCGAGAATGAGGCCCCTTGTGGGGGGCGTGCCCCGGCCCGGAGGAGCCTGCCGGAGTGTGGGGGCGCCTTGAAGACACCGGGGCACAGAGACAGGCAGCACCTGCTCTCTCACCAGCGGGCCGGGGCACAGAGGCCGCGCACCGTCCAGCTCTCACAGCGGAGGGGCTGGGCAGGGCCCAGCAGATAGGCCCACGAGGCCTGCCGACCGCCTGCCTCCCCCCGGTCTGCTCTGCTCCTACTTGGCCCCCCAGGACTTCTGTGTTGTCCCTCCCCGGCAGGGGCAGCGCCTGTTGGCGTCTTGATGTCCGGCTGAGCACCCCCGAGTCCCCTGGGGCCGGACTTCCTCCTCCAGCCACGGGCCCGTGGCCTCCCGGGCTGAGAACGTTCCCAGCCCCCCACGGTGCTCCCGGCCCGGGCGAGACCCGTCCCTCCCAGACGGTGGCTCCATTCCCAGCTGACCGTCCCTGACCCTCTGAGAGGGACGCAGCTCTGTGCCGGCGGGCCTGGTGGGACAGGGCAGGGAACGTGGCAGAGCAAGCCCTGCCCTCGCTGTCCCCGCCAGCCCGCTCCCAGCCCAGGGCCAGGCCCTGGGGGCGCCCACCGCCTGCCCACCCGGCTTGGTCCGTGTTCCCGCCGGAAACGAGCAGCCCCACTCGGTCTCCAGGCCCCAGGTCTCTGTGTTCTCAGGTGACCCGCGTGGGCCCGCACCTGCTGTCACCCTGTCGGTGCAGTGCCGTCTGCGACCGCTGCCCCCTCGTGCAGCCCTGAGCCGCGAGGTGTCAGCAGGTGCTCGACACGGTGAGGACGAGGCCGCACCGCCCTCGTGCGGCCAGGCGGGCGGCCCCCACACGTGGGCCGGTGAGCACCCCCAGGTGCGCGGCGGGAAGACCCCGTTGGTGGGAGAGTGCTGCAGCCTGGCCGGTGCCCAGCCGGGGCCGGTGTGACCGCCTTTCGGGCCCTTCTTGCTCCCGGCCCCGGGTTGCGGGGGCTGGGGTGTGTGCGGGATGGCGGACGTGGCAGCGGGCAGTGCGGCCCCGGGCCTGGGTGTGAGCCAGGGACACGCTCAGGCCAGCCCTGCGGGACGGGACACTCAGGAGGACCCAGGCACGGTGGGCAGAGCTGCTGACCGCAGACCTGACGGCCAGCCGGGCTGGGTGGTGGGAGCCCCGTGCCCGCTGGCCGGCAGCCCGAGGCTGTTCTGGGAGCCATTCACGCCAACAGCCACGCCACGTTCTGCGCAGGACCTGGACGCGCTGGGCTGGGGACCCGAGCCGGGCCTGTGGGCAGCAGCTCCCCCCCAGGCTTTGCTCAAGGGACCCCCAGACAGTGCTCGGCAGCTCTGTTTACGGCGATCACAGCGGGGACAGATAACAGGGCTCGTCGAGGCAACACCAGTGTCCAAGCCTCAAGGTGGTCGGGCCCTGTGGGCGCGCCCAGGGACGGGTGGACGTTGGGAGGGATGGAAGCCGCAGGAAGACACCGGAGAAGGGGCCCCGGCCTCGGGGACAAGTCGCCGCCAGGTCCCACCGACTGCAGACTCCCGGCCAGGGCCCGCGGCCCCTCAGACCCGGCCCGTGGGTGGCTCTGCAGCCTGGTGCCGGGCAGAGTTGGGGGAGAGGGCGGGAGCTCAGGGTGGCCAGCAGGGACACCTCCAGGCGCCCCGGCCCTGCGCTGCCTCCCAGATGTGACGCCTGCAGCCCCGCGGCCCAGCCAGAGGAAGCAGGCTCTGCCCCACGGGTGGGGGCAGGGGCACACAGGTGTCCACACAGCAGCCAAGGCCGCCCTGGGCGCGTCAGGGCAGAGCGTGTGGGTCTGTGCGTGTGGCTGTAGGGGCTGTGGCCCCAGGAGGGTGCAGGGCACCCCCGGACAGCCAAGGCCAGCCTAACGTGCACACGAGCAGGACAGGCCCATCCACTCTGGCCCCTCACACCATGCCCTGGACTCGTAATTGAGACCGCTGCCCCCAGCTGGCTAGACCCGCAGCCCCCGGGAAGGAGGGTGCCCCGTGCAGAGTGGGGGCAGCAGGCGCCAGGGCACCCCCTGGGCCAGGGTCCCAGATGTTGCGGAAGCTTCTAGAAGTGGCGAGGCTGAGCCAGCCCAGAGGCAGCAGAGCCTGTACCCCTGAGGAAGCGGGGAGGGGGCTGGCTCAGGCCCAGGCAAGGGGTGCAGGGGGTGCGCAGGGCTGTCCACAGGCTTGGAGGGTCTGCAGAGCCGCCACAACTCCCTGCCGGCGCCCGGGAGGGCTTAGCTGGTTCCCAGAGCGTCTTCGTCTGAGAAGCGGGAACTTGGCTGCGCGGCCCCTGGGCTCCTGGGGCGCTGCCGGAGCCTAAGCCCATGCTGCGCCCCGGGACACTACATGATCACCAGGGGACCCCCGCCCGCCCGCGTGCCCGCTCCCTGCCTCACACGGGGCTCGAGGAGGGCTGCTGGGCAGGCTCTGGGCCGGCTCCCCTGCCTGCCTGCCTCCCGGTCGCTCCCAGAGGCCTTGGAGGGGCCCCGCACACGGTGTGCGGCCTGCGGGGAGAGGCAGCCCCATGGCCCCTGGCGCTCAGTGGACGCGTGAAGCCGGCCCAGCCAGGCACAGGCACACCCCCCCTCCTCCCAGCCCCTGGACATCCAGGGGGCCGTCCCTGACCCCCACGCCCAGGGACGAAGCCTCGAGGAGCCCGGCAGGCCCATGCCCCTGCCATGCAGCCTCCCTGGGCGCCGGCCCCGCTTCCTCCCCTGCCTGGCGGGCAGGAGGCCCGGCCCCTGGGGGCCTTCGGCCTGGGCTGCAGCCACTGACCGCTCTTCACACGAGCTGAGCTCCAGGCCGCCCCTCTCCCACGGGGACACAGAAACAGGCCATTCTTTTCCCCCAGAACCACTGAACTGTCCCAGAAACTCCAACCCCAGAGCCCCCGGACGGCGTAGCCTGATGCCCCACAGCCGTGCGCAGCACAGAGCAGGCTGCTGGGGCCTCGCCGAGCCCCCGCACACCTCACGCCCACACCGGCGGCCACCTGCTCCCCCTCAGGAGGCTGGGCCGCAACCAGCGGCTCAGGCCTGGCCGGCACCCGCTCCCCGGCCCCTGGCCCCGCGCGGTTCTCCGGGACCCTTCCAGATGCCTCGGAGTGACCACAAGCCGCATGTTTACCCTCGGGCACGGAAGGCCGCTGGGGCTGCGCGGGGCTGCTCCTGGTCCGCACAGACGGCCCAGCAGGCCCGGTCTCCTGCCCGCTCCTGTCCAGCGGGGACGGCCAGCCCTTCCCACGGTGTCGCCGCGCACACAGACACGCAGCAGGCTGGCATCCAGCAAGCGCCAACCGGCACTGACATGTCAACGGCAGCTCCTCTCAACACTCGCTTCCCGGAAGGGCGCCCCTGCCTCGTCCGTCCACCCGGGGGCCCGGG